GGTAACACTGTCGTTTTTTTTCGGGTCGAATTTTGAGTTTCGATATCTCAGCTCTGGAAGGGTCTAGAGCCTCCATTTTTGCACTCAGGTGTAAGTCTCAGTGCCCTCTATCAGAATCCAGAGTTTTGAGAAGATTGGAGATACTTAATTTTTCGCCCAAAAAAAAAAACGTAAGGGGTAACACTGTCGTTTTTTTTTCGGGTCGAAATTTTGAGTTTCGATATCTCAGCTCTGGAAGGGTCTAGAGCCTCCATTTTTGCACTCAGGTCTAAGTCTCAGTGCCCTCTATCAGAATCCAGAGTTTCGAGAAGATTGGGGATACTTAATTTTTCGCCCAAAAAAAAAACGTAAGGGGTAACACTGTCGTTTTTTTTTCGGGTCGAAATTTTGAGTTTCGATATCTCAGCTCTGGAAGGGTCTAGAGCCTCCATTTTTGCACTCAGGTGTAAGTCTCATGCCCTCTATCAGAATCCAGAGTTTCGAGAAGATTGGGATACTTAATTTTTCGCCCAAAAAAAAAAAACGTAAGGGGTAACACTGTCGTTTTTTTTTCGGTCGAAATTTTGAGTTTCGATATCTCAGCTCTGGAAGGGTCTAGAGCCTCCATTTTTGCACTCAGGTGTAAGTCTCAGTGGCCTCTATCAGAATCCAGAGTTTCGAGAAGATTGGGGATACTAAATTTTCGCCCAAAAAAAAAAAACGTAAGGGGTAACACTGTCGTTTTTTTTTCGGGTCGAAATTTTGAGTTTCGATATCTCAGCTCTGGAAGGGTCTAGAGCCTCCATTTTTGCACTCAGGTGTAAGTCTCATGCCCTCTATCAGAATCCAGAGTTTTGAGAAGATTGGGAAACTTAATTTTTCGCCCAAAAAAAAAAAAAACGTAAGGGGTAACACTGTCGTTTTTTTTTCGGGTCGAAATTTTGAGTTTCGATATCTCAGCTCTGGAAGGGTCTAGAGCCTCCATTTTTGCACTCAGGTGTAAGTCTCATGCCCTCTATCAGAATCCAGAGTTTTGAGAAGATTGGGGATACTTAATTTTTCGCCCAAAAAAAAAAAACGTAAGGGGTAACACTGTCGTTTTTTTTTTGGGTCGAAATTTTGAGTTTCGATATCTCAGCTCTGGAAGGGTCTAGAGCCTCCATTTTTGCACTCAGGTGTAAGTCTCAGTGCCCTCTATCAGAATCCAGGTTTTCGAGAAGATTGGGGATACTAATTTTCGCCCCAAAAAAAAAAAAACGTAAGGGGTAACACTGTCGTTTTTTTTTTCGGGTCGAAATTTTGAGTTTCGATATCTCAGCTCTGGAAGGGTCTAGAGCCTCCATTTTTGCACTCAGGTCTAAGTCTCATGGCCTCTATCAGAATCCAGAGTTTCGAGAAGATTGGGGATACTTAATTTTTCGCCCCAAAAAAAAAACGTAAGGGGTAACACTGTCGTTTTTTTTTCGGGTCGAAATTTTGAGTTTCGATATCTCAGCTCTGGAAGGGTCTAGAGCCTCCATTTTTGCACTCAGGTGTAAGTCTCAGTGCCCTCTATCAGAATCCAGAGTTTTGAGAAGATTGGGGATACTTAATTTTTCGCCCAAAAAAAAAAAACGTAAGGGGTAACACTGTCGTTTTTTTTTCGGGTCGAAATTTTGAGTTTCGATATCTCAGCTCTGGAAGGGTCTAGAGCCTCCATTTTTGCACTCAGGTGTAAGTCTCAGTGCCCTCTATCAGAATCCAGAGTTTCGAGAAGATTGGGGATACTTAATTTTCGCGCCCAAAAAAAAAACGTAAGGGGTAACACTGTCGTTTTTTTTTTGGGTCGAAATTTTGAGTTTCGATATCTCAGCTCTGGAAGGGTCTAGAGCCTCCATTTTTGCACTCAGGTCTAAGTCTCAGGCCCTCTATCAGAATCCAGAGTTTTGAGAAGATTGGGGAAACTTAATTTTTCGCCCCAAAAAAAAAAAAAAACGTAAGGGGTAACACTGTCGTTTTTTTTTCGGGTCGAAATTTTGAGTTTCGATATCTCAGCTCTGGAAGGGTCTAGAGCCTCCATTTTTGCACTCAGGTGTAAGTCTCATGGCCCTCTATCAGAATCCAGAGTTTTGAGAAGATTGGGGATACTTAATTTTTCGCCCAAAAAAAAAAACGTAAGGGGTAACACTGTCGTTTTTTTTCGGGTCGAAATTTTGAGTTTCGATATCTCAGCTCTGGAAGGGTCTAGAGCCTCCATTTTTGCACTCAGGTCTAAGTCTCATGGCCCTCTATCAGAATCCAGAGTTTTAAGAAGATTGGGATACTTAATTTTTCGCCCAAAAAAAAAAAAAACGTAAGGGGTAACACTGTCGTTTTTTTTTCGGGTCGAAATTTTGAGTTTCGATATCTCAGCTCTGGAAGGGTCTAGAGCCTCCATTTTTGCACTCAGGTGTAAGTCTCATGTGCCCTCTATCAGAATCCAGAGTTTTGAGAAGATTGGGGATACTAAATTTTTCGCCCCAAAAAAAAAAACGTAAGGGGTAACACTGTCGTTTTTTTTTCGGGTCGAAATTTTGAGTTTCGATATCTCAGCTCTGGAAGGGTCTAGAGCCTCCATTTTTGCACTCAGGTGTAAGTCTCAGTGCCCTCTATCAGAATCCAGAGTTTTGAGAAGATTGGAGAAACTTAATTTTTCGCCCAAAAAAAAAAAACGTAAGGGGTAACACTGTCGTTTTTTTTTCGGGTCGAAATTTTGAGTTTCGATATCTCAGCTCTGGAAGGGTCTAGAGCCTCCATTTTTGCACTCAGGTCTAAGTCTCATGGCCCTCTATCAGAATCCAGAGTTTTGAGAAGATTGGGGAAACTTAATTTTTCGCGCCAAAAAAAAAAAACGTAAGGGGTAACACTGTCGTTTTTTTTTCGGGTCGAAATTTTGAGTTTCGATATCTCAGCTCTGGAAGGGTCTAGAGCCTCCATTTTTGCACTCAGGTCTAAGTCTCATGCCCTCTATCAGAATCCAGAGTTTTGAGAAGATTGGGGAAACTTAATTTTTCGCCCGAAAAAAAAACGAAAGGGGTACCACTGTCGTTTTTTTTTTTCGGGTCGAAATTTTGAGTTTCGATATCTCAGCTCTGGAAGGGTCTAGAGCCTCCATTTTTGCACTCAGGTTTAAGTCTCATGGCCCTCTATCAGAATCCAGAGTTTTGAGAAGATTGGAGAAACTTAATTTTTCGCCCGAAAAAAAAAAAACGAAAGGGGTAACCACTGTCGTTTTTTTTTTTGGGTCGAATTTTGAGTTTCGATATCTCAGCTCTGGAAGGGTCTAGAGCCTCCATTTTTGCACTCAGGTTTAAGTCTCATGGCCCTCTATCAGAATCCAGAGTTTTGAGAAGATTGGAGAAACTTAATTTTTCGCCCAAAAAAAAAAAACGAAAGGGGTACCACTGTCGTTTTTTTCGGGTCGAATTTTGAGTTTCGATATCTCAGCTCTGGAAGGGTCTAGAGCCTCCATTTTTGCACTCAGGTTTAAGTCTCATGGCCCTCTATCAGAATCCAGAGTTTTGAGAAGATTGGAGAAACTTAATTTTTCGCCTGAAAAAAAAACCCGAAAGGGGTACCACTGTTGTTGTTTTTTTTTCGTGTCGAAATTTTTTGAATCGATATCTCAGCTCTGGAAGGATCTAGACTTAAATACTCGACCTAGTTCCATTGCTTAGCGACGGGAAGAAACTCCTGTAACTTCAGTGCCCAACCCGTATCACGACAAGACGTGAAATAATCACGTTGGTCCACTTTGGAAAACGTGTAGATGTCACGGTTTAGTTTAAACTCAAAACCATAAATAGGGCTATACTGCCCTCTTGTGTCAAATTATATTTCTATATTTATTTTTCCAACAAATAAAGCCAAACCTGCAATAAAACCCCTTCCAATACACACTTGTACTCAACAGATGCAGTGGCTCAATTGATAAAGCGTTGGGCTTTAATCAAGAAGACTTGAGTTCAATTCCCATACTTGCGTTAAATTGTTGTGATTATATCAAACAAAGTGGCCTAAACAATATTTCTTGACAAGACGTGAAATAATCACGTTGGTCCACTTTTGAAAACGTGTAGATGTCACAGTTTAAACCCCCTCAAACGTGAAACTTACACTTAAAACTTACCATCACGACCTATTGGTTTTCATTAAACCGAGAAAAATTGAATTTTCTTTTATTGACGATCACTGAGAAATGGTCTATTATTTAAAATGCAAAAAAAAAAAAACATTTATTATTTTCAAGGTGAAAATGATTCATTTGCATGGATCCATGCCGAAGAAAACGTCTAAATGTCACGTTTTTAATGAAGCAGCCTAATGAGTAAAATGTCTATTTTTCCGGCGTCCCCCCAGCTCCTCGTTTAAGCAAAAGGTACGCTAAAAACAACGTATTACATCGACGTTAAACCACGTTAACCGTGTTAACCATAACCTTTTAATTGAAGCGACGTGCTCATTTTTTTTCCGGGCGCAGTATATGTTCGTACTTCGTGGTTGTCTATGGCAACTTGCAACACGGGAAACGCAACAGCGAGCCGCACTCACATTAAACTTTAATGTCAAGTGGGGGGCCACAAAATATCACCGCGAGTTTGAGACCTCTGCTCTACATTAACTCCTGAGGGCACCAAATACACATTAGGTGATTTTAGAAAACATGAAACCTGAGGCACACTTCACAATACATATTTATCATGTATAAGTACATTTTGACAGTGTGCCGAAGGGAAGGCGGATTGTCCCACAAAGATCTAGTTCAATTTTAAAAGGAAACTGTCTGTCAAAGTGACACTGAGAACTGAGTGTTTCTCAAGCCCAGACAGGATCTCATTCACTGAGGAGAAAGGGTTCGGAGACACCTTCGCATGTAAAATTAACTTCCGACATTTCTTTATGTTGATTATAATAATTTTTGTTTGTTCTAACATAATCGGATCCATTTGTAGATAGGCTATAACGATCTATTAATTAGACTAATGATTAAATAGAGTCCTTACTGTCAGTTAGTCCTCCAGCCATGCTGGACGGGGTGAGTGTGTTGCGCTGTTGGGGGTTGATGAGCTGACTGACTGATGGCAGCTTGTTCTTGCCGAGGGTGGGTGAGCTGGAACCGAAGTTGGGTTGAGGTGGCAGAGAACTCCTGAGGGAGAAAGAAAGTACAGGTTCTGATACTGTCATTGGATATTTGCCTAAACTATAGTGGACGTCTAAATTACCCATTACTGAACTCTTCGCATAGGCTTATTAAATGTGTGCTACCTTGTCATGAAATGTTAAACGTTTTCTATAAATGTTTTGGACTCTCTGTGCAAAGTCTCTAACATATTTTTTGTTGTTCTGCAATTCTCAGCAAAGAGGTATACACATGTATAATAAAAAAATCTATATTTCTGGTGTAGAGAAAATAAGATAATTGTATTGGCTGACTTAACCCTTTAAGGCCATATTACACAAATATGTCATGTAAATGAACAATACGAACAAAAGGGGAAACACTGATTTATTGACTCATTTAAGACTCGTTTATTGTTCATTTACATTAGGGCTGGGGAACGAGTAATTATGTAAACACAAACTTTTATTTTGGATGCGATTAATCATTGCTCAGCCCTAATTTACTTGACACATTTGTGTAATATGGCCTTAAAAAAATTGTTTACTCTCCCACAGATGATTTTGCTTTCTTTTCTGGAACATTAAAGGAGATATTTTTTTAGAGATGTCACTGAAAATCAGATTGGTTAGGTTAACTACATTCTTAATATATATATATATATAAACTTGCATGCATTTGTTGCTTGTTTTGCTTGCATAATGTGTAATAAAAACACTAAGTGCTTCAGTTCATTGATATTTTGAAATACCCTGCTGACTGAAAGGCCCTGACAATTCAAGGAAAAAAGAAGATTCAATGAGATAAAGGAGAAGAAAAGAGATTAAAGAGGAAGTGTAGGGATAGGAACACAAAAGCAGAGAAGTTATTTATTGAATAGTAGTAACTGACAAAAGTGCAAGAGCCAATGAGAATACAACAACCATGAATTTCATATGAAACAACAAAAGGATCTGTCAACACTGTAGCATTCATTTACTTTTCTCTTAACTGCCATGTACATAGCAGGAGATACATTTTTTTAAACAAAATGCACAATTAATCAAGACAAAACGCACAAAAAAACTGCCCAGCAGTACACTTTACAAAACATGACCAGCATTATCAAAATTCAGTCATCAATAAAGTCTATCCCCCCACGTTTATAGACAACTCAATGAGTCCAGCTCCAATAATAAAATGAAGACAGAGGCAAAAACAAAAAGCTATTTAAGATAAACCATCATCAAGAGCTTAAAGAAAAAACTATGAGTCCCATAAAAAGGTGTGTGCTTGGTTCCTGGTCAGTTTCGACATTCAGGATTATTTAGAGAGATAGAAAGAAGAAAAAGACGGAAAGAATAGAGAGAAAGAGAGAAATAAGGTGGTCAGCTGACAAGTTGCTATACTGTTTATGTGCAATGGGTTTCTGTGCAATACCAGCAGATCATATTAAATGCCGAGACAACAAGCCGCCTCAGTCACAAGGGCCCTTTAAGAAACATCAAACACGGAAAATGAAAGGTTTTAAGAAACTTTAGACACTTCAGATTATTGAACAAGAATACTAAATGCACCTAAATCTGAGTGTAGGTTGAGTGTAAGCAAATTCAACACACAAACAGATCATTTCAATTGATAAACAAGCGCCATAGTCTGGATAATACACTTTGGAGGGGCAAAATCATGCAATGGACTTTCCACAAATATCTAAACTGACTTCACTTGAGAGCTCACATTTAAAACGAGGTCTTCAGGTGGTAGAAACAAAAATCCAGTGTTCAACCTATTTGTGGTACGTAAAAAGTCTAGGAGTTACCACAGGTGACACTTTGGAGAAGCACAAGGAGCCCCAAGAGGGGTAGAGGATGAGATGAAGAAGAGATGGAGATAGATGAGCGAAGGATGCTCTGAGGGAGGAGGAATGGGATTCCTATTTTCAGGAAGCACTGAAGCGCCTCTTCTGCTCACCTATCGGGTCCAGAAGCTCAGAGCGCAAACGGGCCCTTATCAGACTGTGGAAAAGAATTGAAGACAGAAAGTGAGAAATAGAAAGCCAGGAGAATGCAGGAAGATGTGAGGAGAGAAGAGAGAAAAAGAGGTGGAGGAATAACACAATGTCAGGAAAAATGAAAAAGATGACACCATAAATACCTTTTATTACACTGTATCATGGAATAAAAGAAAAAGAGAGAGCACAGTGATGAGCAGTTGATGATGGGTAAATCAAACTGGACTTGTATAATAATATTAATAATATATTTAATATATGAAGTTGGAATATTAGCCTAAAAGAAATGGGACACAGTGTAAGCATGCATCTATGCAAATTTTAAAAGCCTCATTCATTTATATAAAACTATATTATGTGATTTAAAGGTGCTAAAAATGCTATGTAAACAAAAAAAGAGGCTCAAACTATGTTGAAACATTTGATATTAGGATATTATTATTATGATTATTATGAATATTTTAGCATGCGCACAATCGTTCCACAAGATGGCAGTAAGTTGCAACTATGGAAGTAATTTCAGTATTTAAACTTTAGAGAAAGAGAGAAAGAACAAGAAAATCAACAAAATAAAAAGACCAACCCACTGAATCTATGACAGAAGGAGCTTTATTTAAAACAGAGAGAAAAAAAAAAAGATATATATAGTTAGAAAAACAGATTTATGAAACAAGAGGGAATTAACAGCATGCAGAAAAAGCTGAAAATGATCAAATGGGACTTGTACCAGGAAATGTTACGTTTTTTTTTTTTTTTTTTCGATTGCTAAACGACAACTGGAGCTACGTGTGCAAAACTCGAACAACAGTCTGCACTGCAAGCAGTTCACGTGGACCAAACTCTAGTTCGTTTTTCATTGCTTGAACACACTTTTGAACTCTGTAGGTACACTTATCCCATGACTTTAACCACAACCTGCACTTTGTTCAAATGCTAACACACTGCTGTCAAAACTGTGAACCACAAAATTCAAAACAGAATAGACTTCAGCTTGTGCCTTTCAAACACTGCAGTTGAAAGGCTGGAAACCTGTGGCCTGATGCTAAAGAGAGACATGATTAGACCCTCAATTATTGAGAGCCTGTTTTGAGCGTGTGTTTAGAGTTGCGTTGCTTGGAATGAGTTTTGCAGGTGTTTGTGAACCGTTTAGCTTAGGTAACTGTTGGTAGTGCAGACTGTAGTTTGAGTTTTGCACATGTAGCTCCAGTTGTGCTCCCATTTAGCAATCGGAAAAACAAAACCAAAAAAAAAAAAAAAACTCTAAATACACCTAGGGATGTATTTGATGTGTACTGCATTAACAGGCTACTCAAAATATAGTTTTGGAGAGTCAAACGATGCACATTTCACAGCCTGTGTGCTCTTTTCTTGTACATAGGGGACAAATACCCTATAATCACCAGCCTTTCTTTCACATATTCTCACACTAGAGCTGTTTGAGCAGTTTACAGTTCTAAAACTCAGTAGAGAATAAACCTTTTTTAAGCCATTGGTTCCCTTTGGAATATCTGTGGGTTTATAGTATGGCTGTTTCTTAAAAGTAAATGTGTTCTGTGGTTTAATATTAAAGGGTAACATTTTGTCCTACAATATAGAATTGCCAAAAAAACAAAAAAAGGAAAAATATGTGAGATTATGTAACCAAATCTTTATTTTACTCAAAAGTCGTGAAAAATGCTATTCTGAAAACCCATTAGAACTTCCCTAGGGAATCCATGGCGAATCCAGTTGACCTACAAACTGACGTCACTGAACAGCTCAGTTGGGTGTGGATGATTTAAACGGTCTTAAGGAAATTTACAGAAAGACAATCATTGACATTTAAATTCTTATTGTCAGACATCAGTTGGTTTGTCAATGAGATAAGCTGTCAAAAGCATTTCACATGTCTCTCCCTCCAGCTCTGTCGGGCACTATTTCAGCAGATACAGAATGGTGCTTCTGAGGAAACTATGCCAAAGGTTTAAGGCAGAGTAAATTTGCATTTACCATAAAGACCAATAAAAATGTGTCTGCAGAGTATAAACTTGTTTCTGTGGAAATCTTAACAGCATACAGTGCCAAAATCTGAATAAATCAGAGCAAGGTACACCCTTAATATGAAGCCAAGCAGAACGCAAACCATACAGTAGCTAATATTATGTGAATTGCTGACCATAACAGCAGGGTGCACAACACAAATCACATGCAGATGCAATCCAAACATACATTCATGCTGTAACCAAGATTATATCATCAGTGTGAGAGAATTAAACAGCCATGTTAAGTTCAAGTGTTTGCACTCTAGAAATCCTCATAAGAGGTAGAAACTAATGGCTGATCAAGCAAATTGAAATTGCAAAGTCAGTTCACAGTTAGTTAATGAGCAATCACAAACGTTGAAAGCAAGCAGGTCGATCAAGTTATTAAAACACACTGCCACAAAAATAAATATGTGGGTGGACCTTGCTAGCACAGTGTAGTACTTGCCAACAGTTTTGCTGTGGCTAGTCACATTTACAAAATTCCCCATATGATTGTTTTTCTCAATTTTCCAATGAGGCAGAATCACCCCCATTTTATTAGGGAATCTTTCTGCATATGTAAGGTACTCACTGTTTCTGCAGTAGGTTCTGCTGTTGCTGTCTGTATGACTCAATAGTGTGCTGAGGGAGGAACTGCATGAGTTCCAAAGACTCTTTGATTTTCACCAAAATCTCATAGATTTCACGGCCTTTAATCTGAAGCACAGAGAGGAAGAGAGGAGGGATAAGTCTGGATGTCAGCAGACATTATGCTTACATTATTTTTCTTTATTATTTATTATCTTTTCAGTATCAAATATTTCTGTAACACTTTATGAAGTATAACTTTAACAGGTTTTAATGCATTGTAAAGGCATTCATAAAGGCATAATAAAATACATTTATTAATCTAAGTTATGAATTATGAATTAATCTAATAATGTATGAATACTCTATTGTTCATATGCATTTTAAAATATATATTTTTAATATATATATATATATATATATATATATATATATATGTAAAATGTGTAGAAAAGATCAATAACCTAGATTAATACATGCTGTAAAATTACTATTCATTGCTACTTTATCATTACAAAAATTATTTACAAAATTATAATATTTACAAATTATCAATGATCTTTTCATAAGTTATTTTTAATTTTTATCTTAACAGTTATAAAACATTATCATAATTACATTTTCACAGTTAAAAAGTAGCACATTATACCACAAGGTGACATCTAGTTTGGTGTTTTTTATGGGTTATATAACATAAATAAAACAAATGCATTATTTAAGCGGGCTTCATAGAAAGTTAACAACTCTCCCTCATCATAAAAACAGAGAGCAACAGAAAGGAAGACAACAGTTTCCACATCTTTAAATCTGGATTTTCAAAGATGTCCACCTAGTGTATGTTAACATTGAAAAATAATAATAACACAAATAAAACTGCATAAACTGATGCAAGAATAAGTCCTGTGTGAACCAAGTCTTATTTTATTTCAAATAAATAACCGAAAATCTGATACTCACAGGCAGACAAAACACTTCCTCGTCGGTGGATCTTCGCTTCTTGATGGAGGGGTGCTGAGACAGATGAGAGGCCTGGCGGAAAGCTGTGGAAGACAGAGATAGAGGAAGTGAAACAGCTGCAAAAGATGATCGGCAAGCACAAGAATCAGAGCTAAAGCACAGAACAGGAGGAAAAGTTGCAGTGTGCGTGTGTGGGTGTGTTTGTTTGTTCAAGAGGACATGCAGTATCTATAGAGGTGAGGACGACCTAGGAGGAGTAAGAAACATGCAATGCGAATGTATTTGTGTTAGATGAAGTCCAGTCACCAGCCCCCAGCATTACTTACGGCGTTTCATACCCTCACTGCTCTTTGTGCCGTCACTGACATGCTGTTTGCGGATGCTGTCTTCGTCAGCTTTGCGGTCACGTCCAGGACACGCGCAGATACGAGCCTCAAAACACCGTCGGCCCAAAACCTGACCACTGGAGAGACCAATGAAGACATGTATGCATGTTTCCATTTGTTGTTCTTCACAAATTAGTGATTTTTCATTCACTAACAATCCAATGCGTTTTGAAATCGTCTTACTCTCTGGATTCCAAAGTGACGATGATAAGAATAGGCCGTCTGTTCATTCCGCCAACACAACTCGAGTTACACATGAAATTGTACAGGATAGTTGTGAACTCTGTGCCCACCTGTTAATGGGAAACAACCACGTCATACACCACACAGTTGTTCATTTCTGTAAATTAACATCTGTTAGGAATGGTTTCAGGTGTGCAGGGTATGTAGGGAGAGCCAGGTTTACCTTGTAAACCCAAATGTCCCCACAAGGAATGGCTTATAAATCATATAAGTGATTTTTTTTTTATGTAAAAATGCTGAAAGTGTTCTGTGATGGGCAGGTTTAGGGGATATAATATGCTGTTTGTATAGTATAGAAATCATTACGCGTATGGAATGTCCTCATAATGATACCAGTGTGTGTGTGTGTGTGTACCTGAGGGGGCTCGTAAGGCACCAGCACACTCTGACGCCCAGTAATGGAATCTTCCATGTATTGAGCATGACTGTTCCCCTCAACCCTAATCAGGTGACTGGGTGGGGCTATTTGGCCTAATGAACACAAAAGTCAATCGATTATATCACCAAGCTGAAGGTTAAAAACACACTTAATCGCATTTCTTGACTACAAATTTAGAAGAGTGTCATACCGTCATTGAACTCTCGGCTCAGTTCATGGTTCGGGCATCGTTTGACCACCTCCGTAACATGCTCAGCTTTCTTATAGACAGGCATGGCCCGTATAACTGCACCCTGAGGTGGATTGGTAAGGACCTTGATTTGAATGGGACAGGTTTTGGCAATCTGACAGTACAGCTTCTTCAGCTCTGTGGAGTACTAAAGAAAAGACAGAAGAGTTTGGTTAGCAATTGCCATTAAAACAACCAAAAATGACTTTATGGATCTGTAATATCACAGCATTTTAACAATATAGGCACATTTTAATCGGGATTACTAAAATGTTGCAAAGCTTTTGTAAAATGTTCATGTTTCTCTTAAACAGCCAATGCAGAGATAAAACAGCTGCAGTTTGGCAACCCTTTAGAGGAATAAGCACCATTTAACTGTCTTTAAAGGGAATAGCAGCTGGTATTTGGCGGCAGGACTTCTGGTTCTGTCCTACAGCTGTCATGGGTTAAGATATACCTGTGTTCAACAAAGCACGCTAAGATATGCTTTGTAAACCACCTGAAGCATAGTTTATCTATGAAGATGTCTGGAACCATTTTGTTGCAGAAATCGGATGTAAAATGTATTACCCTGATGTGATGATATTTCTGTTGTTGAGCAATGAAAAGCTTATCATAAATGGCCTTAATAGGCCTCGTTCAAACAGAATGAATTTAGTCTAAAACAGTGGTTCTTCACTCTTTTAACCCCCACTGTCCACAATATTTGCAGACCCCACTTGTTTTTTTTAATTTACAGAAATTAGACTGTCAGATTCAAATTAGACTGTCAAACAGTATTCAAATAATTTGAATAAAAATAAAAAAAATAAATTAAATAAATAGATCAAATTAAATAAGTAAATAGTAACATTCTAGAAGTTTAGCTGTGATTTAAGTAGTTTAAGTAGTAACACTTTAGAATACTGTTCCTCCGTTAATGAATATCTACACTAGAACCAATGAGTAATGCAATATTAACAATCTAGTAACTATTATTAACTAACAATAAACTCTGATAAGTAACAAACTAGTAAGTAACGTCGCACAGATGAATGTGTTAGTTTACTATTAACTAATCAATATCTATTTTTTCAATGCTTCCCAGAGAACTACTGAAAAAGTTTATTAACAATGTAGTAACTACCATTACCTAAAAAAAAAAAAAAAAAAAAAACTGATTAACGAGCTAGTAAGTAATAGTGCGCAGATGAAAGTGTTACTACATACTTCTGTGTGAATTACTAATTATTTGGATCCGTATTATAAAGTGAAGACCATGGGAACTAACTAGTATTGACTCAAGTGTTACTAAAGAAAGTTTCTAAAAGTATACTAAAGTTCACCAAAAATCTCAAACACTTGAAATGACTATAGTGTTTGGTTGCACACAAATCATGACTAGATCATGTAGTAACACTTGAGTCATTACTAGTTAGTTCCAATGATCTTCACTTTATAATACAAATCCAAATAATTAGTAATTCCCACAGAAGGATCTAGTAACACTTTCATCTGCGCACTATTACTTACTAATTAATAATCTGAGATTCTTTTTAGTAATAATAGATACTAAATTGTTAATAAACTTTTTCAGTAGTTCTCTGGGAAGCATTGAAAAAATAGTAGTTATTGATGAGTTAATAGTGAAGTACCACTTTCATCAGTGCGCTATTACTTACTAGTTCGTTAATCAGAGTTTCTTGTTAGTTAACAATGGTTATTAGATTGTTAATATTGTGTTACTCATTGGTTCTTGTGCGAAGGAACCATATTCTAAAGTGTTACCGTTTTAGTTTGTTTGTCACATTTTAAAACATTTTAAGTCATAATCAAGACCCATTGGAAGTTTGCTTGAGGGCCCCTGGTCTATTTCGTTAATCAAGGCTTGACATATCAATGTTTTGAAAACTTTATAATTTTGACACTACATTGCACTTATTATTTCAGATGCATTTTTAAAAGACTATGTTAAAAAATGAATAAAGTATATATTATATATAAATTTCAACCCACCAAAGTGTCAAAAATCCATCCGCATTTGATGGGTTGATGGGTGTTAATGTCAAGCCCTGATTATACTATTCTTATATAAATTGTCATGTTCAATTCAACAATTTATGTAAGAATGGCTTTTTACATTGAGTTTCATTAATTAGGTTTATTGTTTCTAAATGCATGAAAAACAAACATCTACTGTACATTTCATTATTAGATGTAAATCTCATAAGGTAATCACAACTGTATTTCCCAACATCCTCTTCATCACTGATGACAGCTTGATGTTCTGGGTGTCACTGACCACAAAAATCACAATTGCATCACACAGTGTGCTTGAATCATCCTCATCACCACAGGCTAAAACTCAGGTGTTACTCATGCTTACAGCATCATCCAGTGTTTAAGATACTGTCTAACCACACACAATAGGTCAAAATGAAAGATCTACGTGATTAAGCAGTCTCACAAAGTGTGACCGCCAACATTGTGACAACTGCAAATCACCCCTCAGTCACCATCAATGTTGCAAAATCTAATGGCCTATGCCCTAGATTTTGTATTGTAGATGGCTGGTTACACATCACTTCTTTTTCAAGAAAAATAGCACAGACCATCATTTTCTTTGCAGCTTTGAAATTCTTGTGCTGAAAGCAGCGTATCAAGTACATGGAAAATAACTGCGAAGAAAACTTTCCTCTCAAGTTCATTTCAAAAGGTGAAGATGATGAAGAAAGAAAGAAAAAAAGGGCTGTGAACGTTGCCCGGGGCTGTTCTGAAGAACAATGTTACATTAAATTCCATCTCTATTAACTTTTGATATGAAGTGTTCCAATGAGAGGAGCCCATCCCAACACCTGCTTGTGAGCTTTCAGAGTATTACACAATCTTGACAAGAACAAACACACACACAAATCCTGGCCATTTCCTGAAGGAATTGGTAGAACAAACTGGATGATGTAGGGGGGAAAAAAAACACCATTAAAAGAATAATCCATTAAAAATTTGACTCCCGATACGACCTGATAAAGGATACAAGATGCTTTAACAGCATTTACTAATCTAATGGTAATTTCTACATAACTATACAACATATATAATCATTATAATTTATATTATGCTGTCCAAAAATTCCTTGTAAGTTTGACTTATTTCATTAACTGCATCTTTTTTGACCAATTTTATGTCACAGAAAACACAGAAAATACTGTAGGTCTGTGCAGCTTATATGTTTGGCTTCCTGACTTGACATATCACTCGCATTAGCTGGTGATGTCTTCATCAGAAAATCAACAGCATAACAACACCTTCACTCACCATCTGCACTCTCAGAACAGACTTGACCCATTTTAGCTCTGACTAAATTAGCACCAGGGTGCTTTCACCGAGGGATGATGGAGGTGTTTTGTGCGTGAACTGAACGCACTGTTTGAAAGGTGTTCTATAAAAGAAAGATAAATAACTGTAATTGCCCTTCTGCTCCCAACTTGATATGCCCTGTACGCTCCTGTCATTCATTTAAATGAGGTGGGAAGGGGAGAGGGAAGATCATCTAGGACCAATGAATGTAGACATGAATGCCAGAGGGTCAGTCACAAAGAGGCCCAGCAAAAAAGCCAGAGACAGATATAAATGACATACTGACAACAAACACCATTCTTACATATTTTGCAACATCGTAGACTTCAACCTACAAAACTTACCACACAAACAAAGCAGTTGATATACCAATTCTAGCCCTAAAGCAACACATTTTTTTCAGAACGCAAACATGTGTGGAGGCTCCCGTGTTTGCTTAGGGCCAAATGATCCACTTCTAACAGGGAAAAACACACACACACACATACACAAAGGGTGGGGCAACACAGTGATCTGATGAATTGGAGGCATTGGCTGTTTTACAGGGAGGGGCAGAGTGGTGTTAGCATGTAATTATGTCCCAGTCATGGGCTACAATGGGAATTACACAGCTTGGGAATGGAACAAAAAGGTTCAAAAAGTAACTGCTTGAACAGAAAAGGAGCTTGATAACATTTTACAAAAAGGTTCAAATGCACAAGTTAATGCATAGGTTACTGTTAATTTATAAACATTGTTTATTGTTATTTCTTGATCATTCATTTTTGTTAAATATATATATATAATGTTAGACAACGCATTCTCATTCTTTAGCGTCATATAGAACGCTATATGACAAAACGGTGTTATACTCTGTGCATGGCACCCGTTATAATTAATATAACACGCGCTGTGATGGGTAGGTTTAGGTGTGGGGTACGGTAGTCTTATATTACGCTGAAGTATTTATGACGACTTGGGTTCAGATGAATATTAACGATAAAGGGTGCCATGTGCGTAGTATAGCGCCGTTTTGTCATATAGCGTTCTATGTGATGCTAAAGGATGAGAACGGGCTGTGTTAGAATATATCTGCTGTTTCGTTATTATTTATAAACTATTTATTGATATTTTGATTTCATCTTTAATTTATGTTTAAATATAGAATGGTAATTTCTACATAACTATACATTTTTAATATACGATATATATATATATGAAGAGTTCAGATGCAAAAGCCTCTAAGTGCCATTTGAAATTTTCTTCTAGAATGATCATTTTTATCAAACCTGTATATTTAAGTTCAGTAATTTCACTTAAATGGCAATGATAATTACATATTAATTGTTATTTAAGTGAAATTACTGAACTTAAATGTACAAGTTTGATAAAAATTATTATTAAAGAAGAAAATTTCAAATGGCATTTAGAGGCTTTTGCATCTGAACTCTTCATATATATATATATATATATATATATATATATAAAATAGATTAATACATTGCTCAACATATATCATCATTATAATTTATATTATGCTGTACAAAAATTCTGTTTTCTCTTTAGTTTACATTTAAGTAAAATTGTTATGTGCTTTTTTTCATTTTTAGTCGTTTTTTTAATCATTTTAGTCAGCTTTAATTTTAGTACTTCAACTTCAACTTTTTGCAAGGCAAAATTTCAGTTTTATAACATCTATTGATGTTTTACTTTATTTCAGTTTTTATACATTTGTAATAGTTTTATTTTATTGAAAAATAACAACACTGATGTAGAAGTATACTTATGAATTAACATTTTATTCAAGATAAATAAATGTGGTAAAAAGTACATTGTTGTTAGCTCATCATGAATGTTAACAAATTGAGCCTTATTGTAAAGTGCTACCCAGAATTCTACAGTACAGTTGCAGGTTTGATATTTTAGTTCTTGCAGACCACTTCTGCAGTGTATCAGCTGACAATCAGCCTAAAGGAACTGTGCAGAATCTGCTCAAGAGATTTTTACACATACAGAGATGTGTGTGTAAAACCACAATCACACATACAACATACGCACACACATACAGTGCTGTACTTGTTGTGACAAGTTTGCTGCTGTAGTGTGTATGTTTGAGCAGAGCAGGGCTGCGGGCTAAGGCTGTTTTCGTGTCTCAGCATGGCAGGGCGGGTTGGCCCAATGCTCTGGCGCCTCTGGTCTTGTCCCACCTCATACCTGACATGTACTATCACGCCTGTTGCTTTTTCCAAAACCTGTTTCATTGGGAAAGAAATAAAATAGTTTTCCCCCCATTTGGCACAGCAGGGGAAAAAAATAATAAAAACACCTGTTTGGTGAGTTTGGAAAGCAAAAGTTTTGCACCCCCTACACTCAAATACTAATTAAACACAGAAAAATGCTAATCTGTTCAAAAGCAAATTTCATAGGACATTGCCCATTACATATTTAATGCTAGAAATGTTGAGGGGTCAGTTCATGCTTTCTACACTAAAATACATGAAAAAATGGTTTGCAGGACTAAGTTGGTGAGCAGGAGGGATGCAGCCACGGTTTTGATTAGCAAATCAACAGCCATGCTGAAAACTTTGCATGGTGTCTATGCATATTTACTTCAACTGGTTTGAAAGCGAAAAATCAGACCTTTTGTGCACAAAAAGGATTAAGCCAAAGGCATTTAAACGCAATCGGTTTTCAAACCAAAATCAGTAACTCTGTTTATAGTGCATTTGGAGGGAGATTGTTCTGCAAACTACCCTCATCATATTCATACTTTCTCGAGTGATGTAAACAAATGCCCCCAATGCTTCCTGGCACTAGCTAATGCCCTGTGATTAAATTATATGCTCTGGAAATGTGATCTTTCCCAGAAAATGTGTGACAAGCTTTGGTGTAATTATGCTGGATTTCCCCTAGTTTTGCTCAATGGTCCCCCTGAGTGCTGCCAAATTCTTTCCTCACAGCTACCTTTTACTTCCTTATAGCTACCTTTTTCTTCTATCACTGAAAATGAAGGTGTTTGCATTTCTGTTCTCGGTCAATTACGGTCTGAAGGTGTCGTACAAAAGGTGGGCTTTAAGGTCACGTCTAATAAGTAGATGCCGGGCCTTTTCAGAGAGATCCATTGTACTGTATCTCGGCTGCACGAGAAAATGGAGATTACGAGCGTGCAAGTGAGCTAAAGCAGACGCGTCGCTATACTGGTGCTGACAGACTGATCTCTTTGACTCAGTCCAGTTCTACCTCTTGCGTGGTCTTTAAAAGCACAGGTAATCTTTCATTGTTTGAAAACACAAAACAACAAGAACAACACATCTCCAAACAGAACCTGTCAGAGAAGTGTGCTTTTCTAGGTACGCCTTTCTTAGAAATCATTTCCCTATCATAAAAATCTTTTCAACCTGAGATTTTTTTTTTTTTTTTAAATAAACCTCTCCCTCCTTTTCTTCTTCCTCTGCTTGCTCTAGGTTTTAGGGCTTTACGTGGCAATGTCAGACGAGTCTCGACAAGCTCGTTGACACAAACAAGTCTCAGCTCCATCTCACGAGGCGTGGGACGGGCCTGCAGATGTTCCATGGACAAGTCGTATCTTGCCACCTTTCGCTGGAACACTCATCTCTTTGAACGCGTCTGTCCTCCCCCAACTTCTATCCTCGTTCTCATCTCCTTGTCCTGCGGCATTATGAGAGACGCAGTCGAAAAGCTTTACTCATTGAGCAGGGAACAGCCCCTTTGGCACTGTAGGGTTCAGGGGAAAGGCATGGAGTATTTACACGAGTATTACTGACCTATTCTTCTAATCCCTAGCTCACTTCTTGAGACAACAACTCTAGTGGTCGCATTCCTTCGGTCATGCTGTTCTATACAGGTGAACCGTTGGATGCGTTGATAGGTTGACAGTAAAATGCAAATGGAGACTTTGCTCTAAAGAACATCAAACAAATGAACACCAGCCAAAATAGTTAACTGAAAATGATTGAGGGGATGGGTTTCCTCTGAAAATTGAAAACGAACAAAAAAAGCTTTGTCTTATCATTGACATCAACAAAAAAAGCAGGATTGCAAAAGCATTTCCCGTAAATGATGAGCGGTAGGATGCAATGCCAGGAAATATGTGTGTGGGTGTGTCATGGAAGCAATATATGCAGGATTAGACTGAGCTGCGTATTGAGAACAAGCATGGGTTATACATAAAACCCAGAAAAATGTCTTTCGTTTAGCTAAACTGTTATTAAATTAAAAGATGAGCTACTCTTCGTAGCATTCATATTTCCGTTTCTCACAGTGAAGAGAATGAGTAGGGACAACTTAAATGAGACAAACATGGGTGTGGTGTCTTTCTCACACCCAGAAGTCTTCTCTAAGTACAGTGAGGTGTCTGGATATTGCCGCTGTATTGGTGAAGTCAAGAAGTGAGGATGACAAGGGCTCTTGTGGGAATAGGGTAAATGTCACAATCCCACACTGCACTGTAGCCAATGAGCACTGAGCAACTCACAAACCAATCTCCTCTCAACTTGTTTACTTAAAGATGTAAGACTGCATTACCGCAACTGACTCATTGGTTTTTTCAGGACCACAATCTGCCAAATTCAAGATTAGCAAGACATTGGTTTATAATAGCTGGGATCAATTAACCTCAAAAAATGGTTTATCTATTAAATGTCTATGATTAAATGACTTCAACTGAAGGGCTCAGGTTAGCCTTGTCAGATCACATTTAGTGCAAAAATAACAACTGTTGTAACTGCTATCATAAAACACAGCAACAAAAATTAAGAAACAGTGTAAAGACAAGGTCGACAAGACCTTAGCTATAACTAGCTAGCGACCGCTAGGGTGAGTTGTCCAACCGAAAGCCAGTTTTTTTTTGTACTTTTTTAGTTGACAGACTCAGTGGCCTGATGGGATTGTTCCCATGCTGCTACAACTAGCCTAGCAAGTTTTGTCGGTTTCATTATGAAGGGGTGACATATCTATGCAAAACAAAGTGACAGTGACACAGCTAATGTAATGCTCACTGTGATGCGCATTGTTTCCGCTATGTGGACATAGCGGTCTATGAAAAGTAAGAACTCGCCAGCAGGGGTCAGTCGTGGCCCTTTTTGAACAGAATTTTGCTTTCGTCTTTTTAAAATATTTCAAATGTATATTTTTTATTTTCAAAAATTTGACTTACTGCGTACAATTATTAATCAGATAACACATTTTATTGATTAACAATACATTTTTTTTTATGTTTGTACCTATTTTAACTGACTTTAAAAAAATCTTCAAAAAGATGGCAAGTATTGTGCAGTAAACGTTGTGCCTTTTTTTCTCAGCCAGAGAGAGTTTTGTAACTTACAACTTTCATAAAGTTCACGGAAGTGCCTAAAGCTGAGTTCAGACAGGCAAAAACGTTACTACCCTTCTAGAGGAAGAAGAACCCTTGACAGCAGAAATCACCTGCTTTAATAAGCATATCACAGAGTCTTTGTCCTTGTGTAACAGAGAACTTCAGCACACTGTCATAACACAGCAAAACACTCCAAATGCCATACAAAGATGATTTGTAACCAGAGGGCAGGAGGTCCACTTTCCTGGTGCAGAAATATTTGGTTGTTTCCCTAAGGCCAGACACTTAACCCCAATTTAGATTTAAGGGACAACATGGTCTCCTTTCTCTATTGGTTTGGCTCTAATCCCAGACCCCATAAATCAAAGGTATCTGAATAAAAATACATTTGTTGTTGTTTGTTTGTATGTGTAAGGGGAGGGGTGTAAATAAATAGTATAATGGTATAAATGGGTTTTGTCTGTAGTTTACTTTTATATTATTATTTTTTTTACTTAAGGTAAAACATAATATAAAAGTCATACATCATCCATCATCATACATGTACACAATCGCTTTGACTTACCGTCCAGGTGGCTGATTTGGCTGTACTGGACTGCTGGAAGGACACATCAAAGGTGTGTGGGCCAGCATAGTCTGTGTTGGATGGGATGGCAGGTGATGGAGAAAGGGCTTCGAAGGTGGAACTGGGCTGGGCGTAGGGTGATGGTGCCGTTACATTGTTCTGAGCATGATCGTTGTTGTAGGGGCTGGTGGAGGTGGAGCCACCATTTTGATCCATGCTGTTGAGAAGCCCCAGACTTGTATACTGTGGCTAGAGGGAAAACAGGGAGTATTTTTATCAGTATACAATCTTTTCAAGTGTTTATGGTATTAGCAGTGTCACATGAACAAAGACACAATATTCATCAAAACATTAATGAGTTGTTGCCACAATACTGCTTCTTTTGATGTTAATACATCAGGTTATGATGTAATGGTGGGCTTAGAAAAACAGATGATGTGCATCTTAAATAAGTCTTTGTACAGTATGCACAAGTCAGAGAGAATTATGACCCAAGAGGTTATGCACTTTTTCAAGCTGTTCATCAAACAGCCCTCTCTGTGTACTTATTAAGAAAGGCAGTAAATGCCCTTCTATAACAGCATATATCAATCCTGACAGATGAGGATTACCACAATATGTCATTTTTCAGTTATGCTCTCACTCAAATGTTTTTCAAGAGTTTTATCTAAAAAATAACATTATGTAAATATTAGAGACCATAATTATGGTAACCATAATTTACCATAACAATTAATGATTAACAACGAACCAAACAAACAAAAAAAACAAAAAGAAAGAAAAAAGATTGGTTGTTTCAACCCATGTTTGGATCATATATGGACAAACTCAACCGTTGGTTTAAATTTTTTAATTAAAATTTTAAACCCAACGGTTGGGTTTGTCCATATTTGACTTCTGAAACGAGGAGCATTTTTTGCCCACATTTTCAAGCAATAGAAAGTAGCCTAACATTTTTAACAGGAACAAATAGTGTCTTAAATATGACACGTCTAATTAGCTCAAAATGAACTACTTCTAAATTTATCCCAGTGATTTTTATTTGATAGGTGTGATACTGCAGTCGTTTACAATGTAAACAACCATCATATTCAGGACCAATTAAGTCTTTAGCACTCCTTAATTGCTCTAATGTTGAGGGTGGGCTCTGTAGAAATGAATAAAGACGATAAATGAACTGGAAGATGCAGTAATAACAAAGGAAGTTGGGGTCAGCGTGGGAGGGGACGGCCAGTGAATGGGCGATACACAGTTCACACGGCTCCTGTTGCCTTGTTCCAGTGAAGGCGCAGAGAGGAATTAAAATGACTGTCATTTGAGAGAAGGAAGAATGTTCTGGAGGTAAGCCAGTCTTTTCCAGCCCCACTCCTCCAGTCCATTCCTTTCCATTTATATACGCCACATTCTCGGATGAGGTGCCATGGTTGTGTGGCTCTTTAGACAGTCATTAATCTCAACCAAGTCCCTTGTTTATTTCAGGCATGGATGGAGACAGCTGTCCAGCTTGCACGCTTCTCCCCTTTCTCTCTCTTTTCCTGTCTCTTTCTTTTTCACTCCCTCCTCGTAAAATTCTCCTGATGCTGTGGGACACAATCAGAGATGGGCCTTTTTCACAGACTGTGATGACGTGTTTCTATAGTTATTATATCATACTGCATATAAAAATATGCAAACTGGATGTTTCTGACAAACAATCAATCTCTTAATATTTTTTCCTCTTTTGGAAAGTCATCAAAATGCTATCATGGATTTCTGCTATTGGGGCAAATATGAGCGCGCAAATTATACTTGTCATAGATTCTTTACACCACTATAGAAGTTTATCCAACTGTGACGACTTCCGCTTCTGAGAATACCAGAAATGTTAAAAGTGTACATTCATTTTGACTAATCCATGTGTTAAAAATAATTAATTTTTTGTCTAGAAAGAAACAATTTTTTTTAAAAACAAGCTTTAAAATATTTAATAAATAGCCTATTTTGTACACCCAAACACCTGAGAGTGCCATTTGCACTGTAAAGACAAGGGTCAGGGTCATTGTGTGTGTGTGTGTGTGTGTGTGTGTATGCCACGAGTCTGCTCAGCCTCCTGGAAACAATGAGTCTCTGGCTTTTAAGAGCCTGTCTAAAGAAACAATAGACCAGGTCTATTGGTGTATGAAAAGAAGCGTATTGTAAGAGCAGACACACATACCCACACAAAGAGGACACAAACACTAGAGCATTACCCTCCAGCCTCAACAGAACTTCTCAAACACACACGTCTATACAATGGAGCAATTAGGACATAATGGAATCTTTTAGAGACAGTAAGACCACGCAAGTTAGTCTGTGCATCTGATCCCACTACAGAGGTCTAGGGCAGTCTACTCTACTCCAAGCCAGTAGCACTACATTAGCATTCATTTGAAATTATAATTAAAGTTGGGCACTGTAAAAAAATATTTTCAAGATTTGTTATCACAACATATTTTTTTTGTCAAATCAACTTTATAATAATTTATTTAGTTGAGATAACTTATTATTTGAGTTTCTGATAATAAAATTGATATCCTTCATTGTATCAACTCTTTTTTTCCAGTTCAATCAACTTAAAATTAAGGCAACCCAGGTTACTTACTTTTTTAAGTTAAACCAACAATATAATCACAACATTTTTTTTTTGTCAAATCAACTTAAATAATTTATTTAGTTCAGATAACATATAATTTTGAGTTTCTGATGATTAAATCATTATCCTTCATTGTATTAACTCACTTTTTCCAGTTCAATGAACTTAAAATTTTAAGGCAACCAGGTTACTTACTTTTTTAAGTCAAACCATCAATATTTTTTTACAGTGTACAGGAAAACAATCAACACAAGCATGTAAGCTGTAAAAAAGGGGAAAAAAAGCAATGCAGCAATAAAAGAATGACCCTAAAATATTAAGTTTCCAGGGAAAAAGTAGAGTTGTACGTTTTAAAGGGTATAGAGTCTAGAGGAATTCACTGCATCTTTGCTTGAGAGGCCAAGTCATTTACGATTTAAGCTCCAAAACTGGTCTCATGTAATGTAGTGGAATAATTGTATTTGCATGAGCATTTTACTGTGGTAAACTCGCGTCATATGAACACTTTATGGTTCACATCATGTAAAACTACCCACACTTCCTAATTTCTAAGAATCATTAGAGCTGCTCAATTAATGTTGAAAGAAGAACGTGTGTGCATGCTTTAGCAGAGCCATAAATCAGATGGCCATGATGGGTTCGTCTTTTATAATACCATATAATATAATATAATATAATATAATATAATATAATATAATATAATATAATATAATATAATATAATATAATATAATATAATATAATATAATATAATATAATATAATTGGGTTTTATTCCCAGGGAATGCATGAACTGATAAAATGTACTTCAATTATGTTGAATGCAACATAAGTCACTTTAGATAACAGTTTTGGCTAATACATACACTGTAAAATCCAATTAGTACACCTTACTTGTTGTTAAGTGAACTTGAGTTAAGTGAAATAGGAATAATATGTAGCACTAACAAGTGCATGTCTAGTAGTGTGCACTTAAAAGAGAGTTTCAGTAACTTAAAATAATTTGTATACTAAACTTAATCTTTTGCTTTATATGTACTCATTTATACTAGTTGAGTAAATGTAAATGTAATATTTGGACAAACAAAACTCTCTCCATTGCTGCCCTTGTGCCTAAATGCACACATGGATGTTTTTGAGCAATCAAGACCTCTAAACGTTCAATGATTATCAGTTTCTCAGAAACGATTCTTCTAGCAAGAGCAAATCATAAAGATTTCTGCAATGTCAGTCTTCAATGAATTCCACATACCATCTTTTAACAATGTGCTGTTGACAGGTGTCAGCAGCGCCAGCAGTACAGTTGATTTTCAACCGTGAATATGACCAGTCTTCATTCCACAAAAAGTATCCTAATAATAACCAAAACCCACTAAATTACTATTACATTCTAACAGCTCAAGTCTTGAGTTTGAGACCAAAATGAGGGCTCCTTACTCAAGAGCAGTGACAGGAGCTGAGGCTGCCCTGGCCTGGGGGGGTGAAATGGCTGCCATTCCTGGGTGTGTTCCAGTGACCTGGGCAGTTTGTAACCCAGGATGGGTGTTGAGAACATCTGTGAGGCCTTGATGAGTGACCACAGGGGAAGAAAGCATTAAGTACTAAATTGAAGAAGGTGGAGGGGGGTTAGGTGGGATTGCTCTTACTTCTCTTCGCACTTCATACCCAGTGGGCTGGGCAGAGCAGATGATTTTATCTGTGTCCACCACAGTTAAAACAATTGCAATTCCTAGACTTCCCAGGATCACTTTGATGCACGCATTCTTCAAAGCGGCTCCGCAATCTATCACTAAGACAAGCGGGAGTTTAACCTGAAGACCCTTTGCTGAGAGAAAAATGGGCACCTCTTAAGGCCCAAACTGCTCTCAAAGACCCAAACCCAACTCTAAGTAACCTACAAGTTAAGGAACCTCTCCAAAGAACATAGCTAAAAATTAGCTAACTTTCAACCATCATTTAAAACATATTTGTGGTAAATCAAATTTTCCGTGCACCTCCATGTCTCCTCTTACAATTCAAAACACGTATGTCTACGGACCCATAACCCCTACCATGATTAAAGACAGTGAGAGACGGAGCGTTTACAAGCATTAATCAAAGCTGTGTGGGCAGTGGATTGGTTACCTAAAGTCAGCTTTAAAAACACAAGGGGGTGGGGGGACCGGACTGTGTTTCTACCAACAGGTTTGTCTCTGAGCTAACGGTGTTGTGTTGACAACAGCTTTGTGCAGGAGAATTTGAACTACCACCTGTCAGGAAGGAATGGGGGCGCTTTTAGAGAACAAACACAGATCCGGCCACTATCTTAGATAGCTTAGATGACTTAAGTTATAAACGAAAGCTAAAGTTGCATTATATTGTAAAAAGTAAAAAGATCGCACTGTTGTATGGAAGTTCAGTTGACAAATTATGCAGCAGAAGATTTTTTAAATTATATATATATATATATATATATATATATAGAAATATTATTTTAAAAAAAATTAAAATGTCAAAACAGTATTATTTTGGGGAATGATTAAATGTGCTCTCCATATATGTGTTACAGAAGGATTTAGAGTTGGTATTTACTGCAGTTCAGCAAAATGCAAACAGAAATTCGCTAACTTTCATGCATGACCATTCGAAAACCCATTAGCAACCTGACACGAAATTCAAGCTAAGCTGTGAAACCATGATCCTTTTGTCACCTCACTCAATTATATTGGCTTCAAGTATTAATCTTCTTTTTCTTTCTTGACATAGCAATACAATGACTTCTGGATGTCTAAGTGCTGTTGTACACACTAACCTAAAGTAAAAAAAAATATTTGTATGTGTTAAAAAAACGTCTGAAAATGTTCGTAAACTTAAGCAACAATACAAGGGATATTAAGGTTAAGTAAAAGTAGACTCTATGAGTACTTTCTCAAAGCAAACTACCCAATCGCAGCCTATTGTTCTATACAAACAAGATTATCAGTCTCGCATCTCAGACAAATCCATTATTTGCCAAATACCTTGACTCAACCCAAGAGCACTACACCATAGACAAAACAGCAGCTAGGCAAACCATTAAAGCGATACATGTTGATTTTTCGTCCGATTTTTCACACCCACAAGCCATTGTAAAATTTGCATTATCGCAGTTGCAAACATTTCACTTTCTAAAGTCTCAATATTAAAAAACATGTGCACAAACAAATCAAAAGCAATAATTATTTTTTTTTAAAAATGCAAAGTGTCCGACCAGAATGACAAATCACAACATTTTAGTAACAGTAACAGCATCTCCTCAAACGTTTTTGGTTAACAGCATAAAAAAGGATAAGAGAAAGTACGGGACATATTCCAATGCCTTTGTAAGGCCTACTTTTGATGCCACTATTGCCAATCACTCCACAGGGTTCCCTGAGAACCCAAAATTTAGCAATAGGACCAACTCAGTCTCCAGATGGGCAGTGGTAGCGCAAGGGCCTTACCTCACTGTATGATGTGGGCTGATTGGTCTCCAGGTACAACATATTGGCGCTGAGGTTGAGCAGTGCAGCCGCTGTTTGCTCCACAGGCTCCAGGATTCTTACCCCTTGTTTTCCTCCTTTTATCCCCTAAAAGTGCGATGTGGGCTACAGAGGTGAACGGGAAAGGCTTAAAGTCTCTATAGGAATTCAATGGGATTGCCATATATACCAGGGACAAAAAAGGGAGGTCCTGAGAAATTACCTGTCCAATACCCGAGTCCAATACCACACCCTACTTTTGGGAAGGTGTTGCCCGTCTTCAAGCTCTTCCTTTAAGATTTAACCCAAAGGAGTAGGCCTATGTACCAGACCTAGATGCCTTCCAATGCAAATTGCTATTGTTTTTCACTATCTATTTATCTATTTATTTAATTATTACATATATTTTATAGAAAAATAAATGAAAAATAAGTGTAACACTTTTTAAAAAAACGAATAAATTTTCCATGAACAATTTTCAAAAACAATATAGCAACCTAATCAAACACTTTCCATAACATGGAAAAATTACTCTGTGCAAGTGTGATTATTAATTGTTTAAATAAGCAATGAAATGACTCCAATACCCAAAAAAAAAAAAAAAAAAAACATTTCGATGAAAAGAAATTCAGTAGTAAAAACAGGTCAGGCATTTAATTTACTTTTTTCCATAAAAAATATATATATATATATATATAAATATATACACATATATATAGGGCAGAAATGTCATGGATGAAATTTTGAGATGCAGTAAATGACTTTACACTGAAACATTGAGCCTCCAGACTAATTCTGGAATCCTCTTTATAGTTCAACAAAGACCTTAGAGCGCTAAATTCTCTCCAGTAGTAGCATCCTTAGCCCCTGTTTGCATAAGAATGAGCCTCTCCCAACCTCCCAAAGAGCCTCTAGCATGGTCCTATGAGAATCATCAGACACAATAGGACTACAGTTCACAGCTTGTATCTATCAGAGATGACTGGTGTAGATTTGTTTTGAACACACTAATGTTGTTTCAGATAGGGTAGAACCAACCCACTCCTTTGTGAATATTTAAATGTCTTCATGTTAGATTCATCAGATGATACAGAAAGAAAGAAAAACAATTAAACCCCTTTTCAGATTGAGGTACTTACATCATTTTAGCCACTACATAAGTGAATTGTGACCAGCCATGCAAATAAATTGAACTTTTACTGTAAACTAGACGTATCATTTGTGATATTTGCTTTTTCCATTTTATTTTTTATCATGTTATTTCAGCAAATACTGCTATCTTTGCAAACCTACAATGTGTCGATGCACTCATAGCAACTTGTACTAACCGAATGTGCTAAATCTGTTTAACAGACTGACTTAAGAGAAAAAAAGTTCACTTATGTATTCCAAAGGTTGGTGACCACAACCCCCTGTTCAGTAGTCTCATGCCAGCTTAGTCACCTCTGAGAAGGGCAAACTGCCTCATCAATGCACTATGAGTCAATAATAGAGCATTAAACTAGCGTCAAAATGCACATTTAAACTATTACCCCCATCAACATCCAAAGCACACTTTAAAATTCTTCAAAACAGTCGCTCACACCCTCCTGGGGGTAGCTGTTATTCAGAGCACTTTTGATGGGGGTAATTAGGGTTAGCTAAACAAACTTCTAATTATGTTAGAAAAACATTGGTTGCAATCTACAATAGGGGGCTAAGGCCATCACTGTTGTAGCACTGAAATCACAGTGGGCTGCTGCTGAGGTGTTGTGGTCAAGCTGCTGACTGCAACTCTTGCAAAACTATGAAATCATTCAATAGACCAGCTAAATATTCCATATTTATCATATACTGCTAATAAGTAATTCATTATGTCTTTATTAGGCTATATTTGCTATTCCTTATGTGAGGTTCTCTGAAAGGTATCAAAAGTCATGTAAGCAAAGCCAGCTCCATCAATTTATTTATTTAGAAATTCGGGAGAATGTTACATGTTTATGATCAGTAAGATTTATTAATACTTTACACAAGTGTGCATTAATTTGATCAAAAGTGTCAGTAAACGTTTTCAATTTGTTACAAAAGTTTTCTATTTCAAATATTGAAAATGTCTGTGTTGTTAAAAATCCAATGATTTTCAACATTGATAAGAAATGTTTCTTGAGTACCAAAAATCTGAAAGATTTCTGTAGAATCATGTGACCCTGCAACACTATCTGACGACCAGAGTAATGGCAGCTGGCATTTTTATTTTAATTTTTTTTTACATATATTACAATCTTTAAAATCTTTAAAGTTACTTAAATTTTCCATGAACAATTTTCAAAAACATTATAGCAACCTAATCAAACACTTTCCATAACATGGAAAAATTAATCTGTGCAAGTGTGATTATTAATTGTTTAAATAAGCAATGAAATGACTAAAATACCTAAAAAAAAAAACACACATTTCGATGAAAAGAATTCAGTAGTAAAAACAGGTCAGGCATTAAATTGACTTTTTTCCATAATATATATACAAAAGTTTTCTATTTCAAATATTGAAAATATGTTATTAAAAATCCAATGATTTTCAACATTGATAAGAAATGTTTCTTGAGTACCAAAAATCTGAAAGATTTCTGTAGAATCATGTGACCCTGACGACCAGAGTAATGGCAGCTGATTAACTTTTCAAAAACAATCTTACATATATTACAATCTTTAAAATGGTAATATTTCACAATATTGTGTTTTCCTGAATCTTTTGACCAAACAATGCAGCCTTAGTGAGCTTTAGAGTCTTTAAAAAAAAAAAAAAATCTTACTAACCCCAAACTTTAGTTTAAACAGTAGTGCATTCTCCACAATATTTGTCTGCTCTTTGATTTTTCCATAAGATCTAAGATAGTTTGTGCTGTCTGTATGTTGTATTAACAGATGTTTTTGAGGAGTTTATTGCATTTTAAAGCTATTCCTGGTTGAGAAGTTATTTATGTGTCTCGTGGGGGTCAGAGGTGACAGCATTAAGGGACAGCCTCAGGTGACAATAGACATGGTGCACAAAGGGCTGGACCCCTAAACCTGACCCACCTAACAATCACAAATTATACCACAGACTGCAGTAAGAAGAAGTAAGCCCCTAAAAAAAGGTTTTACTTTAGGGAGGCATGGCCATTCGGGACTAAAAACAAAATACGTATTATTTGTTGAGACGGATAATTCCCAAAAGGTTAACTGTTCTGGTTTTGCACGCACCTTGCATTCTTTTCGATAAAATGGTGTGGGCCTTTTTTTATTTTATTTATTTATACTCTTAAACAGCAAACATAAGATCATGTGCTACCTCTTATCAAATGACTAAAGACTAGCTCCGATTCATGAAGTGAATATATATAGTCTTACACTCATTCAAAACAATTAGGCTAAATTAGGCAACTGCTGTGAGGCAATAAACAGGCTCTGCAAAAAGGTGATGAACCTGACTGAAGCTTCCCGGTGGCTCAGACAAAAGATGCTGCACTTAGATCTATGTGGACACTTAAAGGACTGTTTGGGCTTACAACTCTAGGATTAGTGGGGTGTCATGTGTCAGGTGGCTTGTGTTTTGAGAGACACCTGCTCAAAAAACCCTGAATCGCCCCTTTTAACAGAGGACTGAGAAATAAAGAGGGGTAAGACGTTTATTTGATTATATTTTTGTAGCATATCTTGCATATTTTGTAGTTATTCTCTATTTTATTTTATTACTTATGACTATTATGGCAAATTATTACTATTATTAATTCATGTTTTTATTATTTATTTTAAAAAATATTGAATCTATGCTTTTAAAATGCACCTTACTCATGGGTAACAGTGCTACAGTTCATGATAATAAGCTGTTTGTGATGTCAAAGACTAAACACCTGTGGACATCACAGAGTAAAGTCAACACCTGCACTCAGAACTTAAGAATTGTTTTACAGCATAATTTGCACTAGTCCTCACTATCCTGTTTTGATCCTTGTCTAGTCTTCGAGGAATGGTTGTATTCTTGTTTTAGTTAAAATGGTTGTATTAGTTAAAAGTTATTAGTTTCAAATCAGCATGATGTCTGATTTAAAAAAAAAACGGTATCCTATCAGCCGTTGACAAGAAAAAACAATATTTAATTGTTTACAAGTAAAACCTGTTAAAAAAATAATAATTGCAGAGCCTTTCAAATAAATCAGGTTAAGGGTCACATGCTGTGATTTTCCGTATGAGACAGAGAAGGAAGTCTTAAAGATATTTTAGTTATTCAGAAATATGTGCTATAATTTCTATATTTAGTTTTGCATTTATGCTGAGTTTTCTATTTGTGTAGATGATATTTTGAATCGTCACAACACTGATCTTACAAATACTAAACACTTCTTAATGCATTGATGTGTGTATAAAGGAAGAGAGTGAAAAAAAGGAAAGAGACAAAGAGGAAAAAAATGCTAATGTTTACAAGGCAGTACTTTTTAATTTCGCTTGAGGCAAACTGGTGGGGTGACGAGTCAGCAATGATTTAGCAGTCGTGATTTAAACTGTGGAATTAAATCTCAAATTTGAAAAGAGTAAACCATATATATATACACACTACCGGTCAAAAGTTTTAGATCAGTAAGATTTTTTTTATGTTTTTAAATGAAATCTCTTCTGCTCACCAAGGCTGCAATTATTTGATAAAAAAAATAAAATAAAAAAAAAAATAAAAAAAAACAGTAATATTGTGAAATATTATTACAATTTAAAACAGCGGTTTTCTATGTGAATATATAGTGAAGTGTAATTTATTCCTGTGATCAAAGCTGAATTTACAGCATCATTACTCCAGTCTTCAGTGTCACATGATCCTACAGAAATTATTATAATATGATGCTCAAGAAACATTTATGATTATTATCCATGTTGAAAACAGTTTTTTATATTTTTATTTCAGGATTCTTTGATGAATAGAAAGTTCAAAAGAACAGAATTGATCTGAAATGGAAAGCTTTTGCAACATTAATCACTACCATTCAAAAGTTTGGGGTCAGTAAGAATTTATTTTTTTATTTTTGGGGGAAATAAATTAGAAAATACTTTTATTCATCAAGGATGAGTTAAATTGATCAAAAGTTACAATAAAGACATTTATAATGTTAGAAAAGAGTATATTTTAAATAAATGCTGTTCTTTTGAACTTTCTATTCATCATAGAATTATGGGGGAAAATGGTACACAACTGTTTTCAACATTGAAAATAATAATTTATGTTTTTTGAGCATAAAATCAGCATTTTAGATTGATTTCTGAAGGATCATGTGTTACACAAAACTGATGTGTAATCAGCAACAGTAATGATGTTGAAAATTCAGCTTTCAAAGTACATTTTAAAATATATTAAAATAGAAAACAGTCATTTTAAATTGTCATAATATTTCACAATATTTCTGTTTAATTCCAGGAAATTCATCAGCAATATGAAAACCACCACAATAAATAAAAAAATATTAAATAACATTAATATAATGGGGAACATGAAAGTGACTTATTTTATAATCCGTAAAAATCTGATTTTATAATAATTTTATAAATCAAAATTTTAAATTATTTAAAAAAAAACATTTCAGACAAGCAAACAGTAGCTACAGAATGCATGGATTGCGGTAAGGAAGCACGCCTTCATTATGTGTTCCTGCCTAATGCTGAGTCAGGCTCTACTTGAAAAGAAAACTACAAATGACTAATCAAGGGCTAGGACACAACACAGCCTAAACAAACCATTGCCTCACCACCTTCAATGTATTCATGCCAAGGGATAAATTATGTTGAATTCTTGCTGATCAGCAACACCCAGACAAAAAAAAAATGTACTGAATGGACAGCCATTCTCTCCTGCCAACGCTTCTATTTGAAGCCGTTTCCAAAATATAGAACCTGTTAATGTGTAACTTTGCTTAGATTGATATTGGTTAGATTAGCTATGACATTTGATGGGACCAAAAGAGCACAGTGGTTTGTAACTGTTGTGGAAACTCGTTACTGCCATGATGCTTAAATCTACCTCTGACTGGAGTCTTTATATGCAAGTTCTGTGTGTCATCCACACAAAACTTTATCCATATTAATTATTTTTCTGTCCCCTATTGAAAAATAAATATATCAAAATGTATTCGAAATACATTCATTTTATGCTATACAAATTTACATATTTATGTACTTGTATATTTGATTGTGCTAAAGTAAAACTATTGCAAGTATACTTTACGTACACTTCAAATATCTTGCATTTAAAGATACATTTTTTACAGATCATATGAAGAGTTCAGATGCAAAAGCCTCTAAATGCCATTTGAAATTTTCTTCTTTAATGATGATTTTTATCAAGCTTGTATATTTAAGTTCTGAACAGTTACTGAACTTAAATATACAAGTTTGATAAAAATCATCATTAAAGAAGAACATTTCAAATGGCATTTAGAGGCTTTTGCATCTGAACTCTTCATATATCCTTAGTGATATTAAAACATATTTTAGGCTTAATATTAACACATGTGCATTGTGCAATAAAGAAGTACTCCAAATAAAGTTAAATTCTAATATTTATTTCAATAAGTCTCAAGCGATATGGCAGTGAATATGTATATAGTATGAAATGAGTGAATATATAGCATGAAATAAGTGAATATATAGTATGAAATAAGCATATTTTAAATATATTAACATTGCATTTTTTAATACATTTTAAATACATGTTATAGTTTTAATTTTAAAAGTGACTTACTAGGATGTTGTTATTTACATACCCCAAGGAGATTAATTCTTCATTAAATTATTCTCTAAATTAAAGTTGAACAAAACAAACAGCTTCACCAATTAAGCCTGAGTTTTATTTTCAGCAAGGATGCACTAAATGGATCAAAGGTGACAGTAAAGATATTTATAATGATATAAAATAATTCTACTTCATAAAAATGCAGTTTTTTCTAACTTTTTATTTATTTTAAAATAAATTAAAATATAAAATATACATTTTAAATTGCAATAGGCTAACATTTAACAATACTTATTTTTTACACTAAAAATCTAATGTTAATAGGATTATTAATTTGATCAATTTAACACTATTATATTACCAAATGTGGTTGACATCATCTCTTTTAATTTATTAAACCATAATTTATTTTAATAACAATAATGTGGAAAAAAAAAACTTCTAATGGAAAAGTGGAAGAAAAAACAATAATTACTGATCTAGTGCTTATTACTGAGGGTAAAAAATCTAAAACATAAACTGTTTGTAGAAAACAACTCTTAAAAGGTTTCGCAAGAATCTACGTTTCTTTTGCACTGCCATGGCAGTCGTCCTACAACAACTTGGATACCTCATTATACAGAAGCAAACAGTTTTGTTTACTGTTGTCATTGAAAAAAGGTGAATTTTAAATAATGGCACATTTAATATAAAAAAATGTCTCCTATTCTACAAATATACTAGCTCTGAGTTCACCACGTTTGAGTAACGGGTCCAACTTGCCATGATATATCAGCTGAGCTTTTGGATGTCAGGATACAACCTTTCCTCTGTCACATTCCTCCATTCTACCTGACTCGACACCACTCTCTCTCTCTCTCTCTCTCTCTCTCGCGCGCGCTCCTTCTCCTCCCCTATCCCTGATCTCACACAGAAAGAATAGGACACAAGCCTCAGTTACTCAGAGCGGCAGGTGCTGCACTAAATTATTGCCCTGCAGCTACAGAGAAAGCACACCTCCAAAAGAAAGAGCAATTTCAGATTTAAAAAAGGGCTTTACACCGAGGACCCTGAGGGCGCTAAACAGAGCACATCATTTGATAATTAATGAAGGGCGGCAAACGTTTTCCTTAATTCTTGTTCTTTTGGTGAAATAGTTCACAGCTCAATCATAAGCTGGTTATTAAAGGGGATAGTTCATGGGATAGAAAAATAAATTCTGTCTCAGTATTTTTTGTCCAATGTTGTTTGGACACCAACGTTGTTCAAGATATCCACAGAAGAAAGAAAGTCATACAGGTGAGGGTGAGTAAACGATGACAATTTTCATTTTTGGGTGAACTATTCCTATAATGCCCACTGCTGACTTTTGTTCTTCAAAAGCGTATTTGGCCATTGGCAGGTTTCCATAGTTTCCACCTCTTCGATCAACGTGAATGCTAGCTGGAAAGGGACGGAGTGTTAGCGTGCCATGCTGTGCACCACACCCGATCTTTACTGCGAGGAAAATGGGGGCGGGTGGTGTTGTATGGGGGGTATTAATCACCAGATCAAGAGAAAAGATAATCCCTCAGGGCCAGAGAGGCAACGCGTTGCTCCGTCTCTCCCTTTTTTCCCCATCTTTACTACCGGACAACTACATTCCTCTGCTGGGAGGGGAACCACAACCAACTAATTCTCCTGTGCGCCCAGAGAAAATCTACAAGGCCTCAGCGTCAGGTCATACACTTAATGTCAAACTTTCCACTGCTCTTCTGTTTTGTATAAACACTATGTTAGAGCCATAAGTGTTGATAGAATCTGCCTGAGGGATACATCAATTTTGCTTGACTTACATCGATTTTATGCAAATTAACAGTTAAACAGTGTTAAAGTTCACTAACTAATTTATACAAGATTCATATTTTATAAAAGAAAAGAAAACTTGAATAGTGTGAACTAGAAACAGATCTAATTCAGAGAATAGAGTGGGGAAAAAAAGATGACTTACACCAAAGAAGAAATTGTCTGATGTGTAGTATTGTTGTAAATCTCCATCTTCATAATTCATTGATCCAATTCAGTCCCTTTTTTATGATTTATCACTCAAAAATCATTTTATTTACATCTGAAGCCCTTCAGATCGGATGTGCCATTGTAGCAAAGCAAGGCTATCGTCATCAGGACTTTTATATCTAGCGCTGTTCATCCGGACCTGGACATCTCTTTTGAATTTGTTGCCACCAAAACTATCCAGAATGACCAGGGAAAACCCATAACACCTCAAAAAAACAGTAATACCCCCAACATGCAAGTGTAAGTTAACTGTTTTTGCTGGGGCTTACCACTAAATTCCCCACTACTGAAATTATTCACTTGAGTGATCACAATAAACAAAACCAAGTTTCATATGTGATCAAATAATTACGTTTCTCTGCTTAAGAAAGGCATGTGTGTATTCAAAAAATTGTTGGCTGAAGTTCAATATTTAAAAGCAAATTACATTTACATTTTTAAAAAAGGAGCTAAAACTATTTGGCAAAAAACACAGATATTCTTCTGATGGTATGAAAAAAGCTAACTATCTATTGCTTCCATCAAAAACAGCCCGTCTGAGACCATTCAGTGGGAGGTTTTAAAGAAATCCCCATGTACATTTGTTTTAAACTTTGCGGGGGATTTTAGATGAATTAAATTAAATTCTTCCGTACAAGTAGTAGGAAAATCAGCCAAGTTTTGAAAAGATTATTAAATATTTTGTATTAATGGCTTTTGTTTATTTTAAAATATCTAAACTGTATGTCAGTTTTATTCTATGCAAAATTACAGAATATTCAACAACATACTGCAACAGAGGCATCACTATTATATTACCAATAATAGATGGTATATATTTGGATGATATTTCGATTGACTACCTGCCTTAGCTACTCCTTTAAAAAAGTTAAACGCTTAATTAAAACAAATATTCCCATATTTAAAGCTTAGATATGCATTCGAGAAGATCAGCACTTGCATTTTACATCATCTGACATCTTGAAATGTGTCAAGAACATGGTCCCACGGTAACAGCTCAGATCTTAATGACACAGCAATATCCATCAGATAAGTGAAATTGTTGTTTGATTAAACTTGGTGTAGGATTGCTGTGCAAATGTATGTGTGAAGAGCTGTGTGTTTAGTGAAATGAAGTACTCACTGTAAGGGGCTCCTCAGGCCCATGCATCGTGATGCAGTCCATGCTAATCTGTATGGTATTGGATGCGGATCCGACCGCAGAGCCCTCAGAGAAGTTCAGCTCGATAGGCTGCATTGAATGTAGTGCAGACCTGGACAGGAGACCAGCAAATGGACTGATTACTTGTGAAATGAGAGGATAATGTTATAGTGTTCATTTATTTATTTATAAGGTCTAAGTTAAATAAAATGTCATATCATTTAGCCAATAAGTGTGTGTGACTGCTTTTAAGTATAATGTATAAGGCATTATAAAGGCACTTATAATGCGCCATTAAGATAAAAATCCATTTTACACTGTCAACCTGAACAGTCTGAGGGGCTTTTAAGTAAATCCAAATGAAAGCTGGGCCCTAACTTACTGTCACCCATTACAAGTACAATCAAAGAGAAGGTACTTCAGAATATTTATTATACATCATTTTAATAAAATGGGTGGGATCTTGCACAGATGCACAGCAGAACTGGGTGTGATATTATATACAAAAATGTAGCCTCCTAGAAAATGGTTATCAAAATAAATAATTATTTTTATAAAATTAATTTTGCTATCATTTTTTATTTCTTGTACAATTAGATTGTGCTATCATAAAAAAAGCAGCGTCACGATATCACTGTAGGTAATATTTTTTTTTAGTCTTAGTTACTTAAACGCACTCATAATGCGCTTTATTAAGGATTATATATTTTACATAAATAGTTGTATTTATTATATTGTATTAAATAATTTACATAAATATTGAAACAACTTACATGTGAAATTGGTTGTTTATCATGTTTTAATGCATTATATTTTTTCTAAAAGTGTAACAATGAACAGATAAGTATTATAATTGTGGTTACAATTAATCACAAGACCATTTAATGTGTTATAAAGGCATAATTAATGCATTAAAACCCTTTTATAATGTAACTGTATTATGTATTAAAGTACAAGTGAATTTATAAGGTACTTCATAACTCACTGGTCCAGCATCTCCAGTAGCTGGTTGAGGACGTCTTGTCCGAGGATATCTGTACCCTGAGAGCCCTGGCCCTGTGACATGGAGGTCAGGAAAGAACCTTCAGCCCATGAGAGACACGCTGCTGCAGGTTCTCTCAATCTAGAGAGATGGAAACAAAAGTTAACTCAAAATTTGTGTCCTCATACAAATTGTGGGTACACTTACATTGTATTAAACTAATTAAACTAAAACTTTCTGAAGAAAGAGAAAGGGTGTTGTTTTTGCCCATGCTAAAGTCACTTTCACGGGTTTGTTACTTACAAGAGCCTACTCTATATTCATGTCATATTTTCATATGTGTACACCAGACAAAAAAAGAAAAGGATTATTTTTATGAATATCAGTTATGAACATCCTTTATCACAAGTATGAGAGGCAGTAGTAGTTTGCTTTTACAATCACCGCTAATTAAAGTAACAAATGACTTGAACTCAAATTTCATTTAGTATCCATTATTGCCAGGGCCATATTTACCTTATGTGAAACCCCCTGGCCCGCAAACCTCCTATGACCAATACTGCTACTTTTCAGGAAAGTCAAAAGTTGATATTGTAGCTTTATATATGATCATACAACCTACTTGTATGTGTCATTATAAAAAAGCATTTACCAAAATCAAGTTTTCAAGTTTTTGATCACTGAATGTCCCGAATGTCCTGTCATTAGAGTGGCCACATCTGAAGCAGTGAGTGCATTGCATTATGCTTTCATCAACTTACAGGTTATGAAATTTATTGAAGCTGTAGCTACACGTGTACTTAGTTTTTTTTTTTTTTTTTTTGAAATGATGGTCAACCAAAATGCGTGCGGCACTTCATTCAAGATTGAGGGGTGGAGTTATGAGGTCTTTACCGACAGATTGAAGAGCCAATGGAGTTACGAAGCTAAATCACAAGATGATTTTATACTTTTCATTGGTTAAATATTTGCAAGACATAAAGGGTTACCAATACTAATCATTTATGAAAAAAATAAAAATAAATATGATATGTTATTAGTTTATAAAGTAATTGTCTTACAGAGTTTGGCATTACACTGAAATAATAATAATAATAATAATAACAAATATATTATTTCCCCTTTATTGTAAATGGGCCTCACTGGACCTGCGAGGATAGGCACAAGCCTAGCATAAATTCAACCCCTTAATGGTGGTAAGAAGTCACTGCACTTCATCAGTATGTAAAAACACAACTCATTCTTAATTACCTCTCCCTCCACAAAGGCCATGCTCTGTGCCTGTCTAAAGCAACACCAATAACCAGTGTTAACATGACATTCAGGAGCAGTAGAGAGAATAAGACTGTCAGTGAAAACACGACTACCCTCTCTATCTGAAATATGACACCAAGCCAGAGCCGGCGTCTCATTGTTCCTTCTGAGGAGCAGCACACGCTGAGGACCAAGCAGAGCGGAATTCCCCTTCACTGTCTATATGATAGCAACACCACCGCTATGCACTATTCGGAATGTGTGTGGCTGAACTGGGCTTGGCTGTGGATGGGGGTTGAAGGTAGTAAATGTATGTATCTATCTGCGTGTGTGTGTGTGTGTGTTGGGGTGTCAACCCATAATCTAACGTTGGCACTCGGGTGTGGGGCGGAATTCCCCTACATTCTGTGCGGTGTGGGGATATTAATATACTAAGCTATGTAGGCATGCCTAATAAATGCTGAATGCTTTTAGGTCGAAGGATGTCAAATTACTGTATCCTAGGCAGAGATACAAAGCAACACTATTCTTTGATATCACTGTAAAGTGACACTTCGATACCAGCCTTTTAAGAGAAACATTGCATTTTACAGTAGGACTATTTGTTCTGCCAAGCATCACAAAGCCTTTTTACATAATACATTTGAATGAATTTGATATGACGAACTAGTCAAAAAACTTAACTTAATAAATATGGTGTTTAAAAATTAGTGTTTCTTAAGAGGGATAATTGTAAAATCCTGTGTGCAGTGTCTGGGGGAGTAAAACTATATCCATTTCCTTAAGGAGGAGCAAAAGCAGCATTTAGAATTCAACTTCAATAGCATGAAGAAATTCCTCTTTTCCCTTTTCTTTCTATGGGCTCCCCAAACATAGCGCTTCAGAAGAAACACAGGGTATATAACTTTTTTTTTCCTTTTTTTTAAGTCTTTGTTCAGCTGAAGAGGTGTGGCACAAAGTGAATGCTAGAGTTGAATTACTGGGACAACGGTGTGCTGCCAGGCCTGTCACTGGGGATAAAAGCTTTTTCATTAATGTTTGCTTTAAGCCTCATAGATATTGTCATTTGGCACACTGGAAGACACACAAATGCCAAGCCCAATGCGTCAAATGTCACAGTGCATCCATAGGTCCATACCTCAGCATTCCTACCTCCCATTGTAAGATAAAAATCAATTTTACACTGTCAACCTGAACAGTCTGAGGGGCTTTTAAGTAAATCCAAATGAAAGCTGGACCCTAACTTACTGTCACCCATTACAAGTACAATCAAAGAGAAGGTACTTCAGAATATTTATTATATATTATTTTAATAAAATGGGTGGGATCTTGCACAGATGCACAGCAGAACTGGGTGTGATATTATATACAAAAATGTAGCCTCCTAGAAAATGGTTATCAAAATAAAAAGTAATAAAATAAAGTAAAATACATATTTTTATGCTATTATTGTTTATTCCTTGCACAATTAGATTGTGCTATCATAAAAAGCAGAGTCACGATATCACTGTAGGTAATATTTTTTAGTCTTTTTTTTTTCTGTTGAAACAAAAATTTAACCCCCAGTAAGGATACATGGATTCTGAGAGATCCCATATGCAAATAAATAGGCAATATTCAAATTCAACACTATATTGTCAAAATACTGTAAATGAAAAATGTACATAATAATAAGCATAACAACTAATGAATAGTAGAAAAATATCTTTATTTTTTGAGAAAAATTACATTTAACATTAAAATATCAACATTTTAAATTATCGACTAGTTCACCCAAAATGAAAAAAATCGGTCAAAATGTATCCACCCTCAAGTTGTAGCAAACCTGTATGAATTTCTTCTACTGAACACAAAAGAAGATATTTTGAAGAATGTGGGTAATCAATGGGGTCCGTCAAATGTTTGGTTATACCGATATTCTTTAAAAAAAAAAAAGTTCAACAGAAGAAAGAAACTCATACATGTACTCATACAACTTGAGGGTGACTAAATTATGACAGAATTTTTAATTTTGGGGTGAACTAACACTTTGATTGGGATTGAGGAAGTTTTAAATATATGAGGCAACAATTAGGCTTCAATTAATTTCCCATGTTCTTTAAATATCTATAAAAAGGCGCATAAACAACACAATAAGAAGTGACAGCCTATAAAGAAGCGGAAGCAACTTAAGCAAAGTGTTTATGTCATAGGGTATGTCATCTATATCATATATCATGGAAGGCTATGTTTCATTTATAGTGCTCTAATAGTGCTAAATGGCTCTACAATTGTCAGTACGCTTAGATTTAGCTTTTGCTATCACACTCAACAAAACCACAAAACGAGATACTACTTCTCTTATGTCAGAGAATGTAGCAGCTAACAACCTTACACAAGGTTCCAGCATCTGTCTGTACAGGGATTACATCTCTCTCTCCCTCCCTCTCTCTCTCTCATTGATATGTTATCGCATTTAATATTGTCAACATTACAGGTTGGTGAGAGCATGAGGACTATATAGGTCCCCAGCAGGTGGTGAATGGCTGCTGTCTCAGGTCACACATTGCAACAGGACATGTTTGAGATCCCTGGCTGAGAGCTGGGTGACATCCCGGGTGTCATGATGACATCATCATCATCATCATCATCCTCATCATAAAACCTGTGCCAGGGGAATTGTCCAATTAATCCAATTAATCTCTCAATCCAGTTAAGAGAGGATGCACTATTAGAAAAAGGTCCCAAAACAATGGATGAACGGATGCTATATTGTAGCTAGACATACAATATGGTTGACAGGGATTTTCAGCCAAGAATGACATCATGGTCCCACAAAAGGTGCAGCACCCATGCGCGAAAATATCCAGCTTTGATTTACACCCACAGAAATGACAGGTGAAGTTTATGGGCAGATTTCTGATCCATCATCATCAGCTAACATGGGAATCAATTAAACATCTAGACACAAAAATAATAGCACTTACAAAGCCTGATAAAACAAATATTGCGTCCTGAAAAATGAGTAATTCAGGAATCACGCAGTGAATGAATCGTATGTACGTTTCTGTCATTCTCCGTCAAATAACCAAAGCCTATACATGTTAAGAATTCTGCTTAACCACGGTGGCTGCCACATCTGTCATTATGTCAGCCATCACATCCCAAATTTAACCAAGGAACCATGATTTTTATCCTCAGTACAGGTAATAAAAACCGTAAAGGAGATTTTAGTGAGACGATTGAGATGAAATTATTTCAGGGCTTAGCTCACCTTTAAAAAAAGCATAAACTTCTTGGAGACAATAGTGAGCTATAGTTTTTCATTGTGGCTATATGGAGGGTTGGTTTCATCTCTAGTGGTATAGCTTCTTTGGAAGCTGTGGGTGGGTGTCTGGTTACTGGGGGAGTTATGCATTCTGCCTGAGGGAGAGGCTGCACTGCGTCCACTTAAACACAGACCAGGCCCCTCGCAGACAGGACGGGGTCAAAAGTCACAGCTTAACAGGGCTGCCCATTGTCTCCTGACAGGTTGGGCACATCCAGCGATGAAAATGCACTCAAAACAAACAGAGTCCTGAAATCTGGGGAGACAAGTGAGAGGTGCTTCTCCACTATCTTCATTAATCAGAGGCCAGGTAACGCTCAAAAGGATCTGCCGACCCTTCCCTCATCCCTCAAACCCGGGACTGCAGGATGGACATGGTGGCTCAGACAAAAGAATAGTGGCCCCATGATTTTTCCTCCATTTAAACGCATGCTTTTATTGACAATGGCCAAATTCGATTGAATGTGGCACAGAAGTAAACTGTCCCAAAGTTAGACAATCTCACATTGACTTAAAGGGTTAGTTCACCCAAAAATGAAAATTCTGTCAGTATTTACTCACCCTCACGTTTTTCCAAACCTCTATGTTTTAATCAAACAGATCTCATTCCCCATTGACTACCATAGTATGTATTTTTTCCTACTATGGTAGTCAATGGGGAATGAAATCTGTTTGATTTAAACATTCTTCCAAATATCTTTCTTTGTGTATAGCAGAACAAATAAACACATAGAGGTTTGGAACAACATGAGGGTGAGTAAATACTGACAGAATTTTCATTTTTGGGTGAACTAACCCTTTAAGTCACTCTGCACTTGTAATTTAGTCGTTTGTTTAAAAACGAATGTCATTTGAAATGAATGTCAGCTTGCCAATACAGAAAAATCATTCAATACCCTGTGTTTAAGCATAAAAGAGTAAAGAGGTGTGAGACAATTTGATTTAACTGTTTGGCAAGTAAATATAATTTTAGAGGAATTTAATGTGGGTCAAGTAATGTGTGTGCATTTCTTATATGTACAGTATATTGTGTATTAACGCAGCCTCGAGTCCATTTGCTGTATGTATGTGGTGTATTAATATTGCTTTGAGCCCAAGACAAATTTCCTGAAAGGGGACAATAAAGTTTACAAAAAATAAATAAATAAATAAAGAAATAAAAAATCACAAAATCTCAGCATTTGATTATTAAATCACCCCAAGAGGGTCTAAGAATCAAAGTTTGTTTTTTATTTAAAATATCTGAATGGAATTTTGTAGGATTCAGTTAGAAGAAGTGAGTACTTGACTTGCATGGAAATGCATGTTCGTTTTATTTTGAGAACCTCTGTTGATGTTATTTTTAATCAGTACACATCTGTTTCCCTTCTCTTATAGATTAGACCTACTGATAGGAGCTGGATTAGTCTCAAAAACAACCGTCTCTGCAGGTATACCCACATGTGCTCAAGGGCTAAGACCTAACAATATTGTGGTAAGTTATCGCATGCTGTCACACAGGGAAGTTGTCACAAGGGATTTATGACAGTAACTATATCCAATAACGTGTGATTTCTCCAACCGTAGTTTTGTAAGTTGGTTTGAAATATTATGTCATTTTTTGCCTTAGCTGTTAGGTAAAAACATGAACACGATAAAAAAAAAATTATATGCTTTTAGCTCAGGACAAGTCTAACACTTTAACTGGGTCAAGTTGTCCCATGTGTTCTGCTTATTTTTTCTTCAAAATACTTTCTTTTATATGACTGCATTTTATTTTTTCGATTTTCATGTTTAATCAATTGTGGCAGCCTTCCTCATATAGTGTGACAACATGCTTCACTAATGACCAGCATGTTTTTCCTGAGCATTTTTTTTTTTCAGGGAAGAAAAGAGCGTAACAGCCAAGATTTTAAGTTATGTTCCTTTACAGAAAGTGACAACTAGTTATATAGTCTCTTCTAAAACAAAATTTAGCATGACTGTACCAATAACATGGCTTTCACCTGAAATTTACGTGTTCGAGTAATAATTTAAACGATACATTTTTGCTAATTTTACAGGCCTGAAAAATTGCATACTCCAACAGATTGAAAAGCATTTATTCTTCCACATTACCCTGTGATTGTCAACATAACGAATAACTATATAAAGATAAAATATGATGGCGTTCATTGTACATAACCTTTTTAACCATAACAATTTATTTAAGAGATTTATATCCAAAGCAGCAAAGGAAAGCTGGCATTTGAAAATGTATGTAGTATATGACATTAATATTTTAAATTGCCTTTTTAAAGAGGTGCCAATACTCCATTGAAATGGAATACTACATTAGAACGTCATTAACGGATACAAGCATGAGAATTGAATCCCTAGCTATTAATACAGCTGTATTTAGAGCAAACTCTGTTCAGACCCACAAAAACAAATGTCCAGGAGGGAGCGAGTGCATGAAGAGCTAACAAGCAAGCAGGGTGAGTATTTAGACAGTTCACCCTAAACTGCACAAAACGCTGACTTTCGCCGTACGAACAGCACACCTATAAATACCATAGCCAGGCAGCAGCTGGAGAACCAGACATAACTGTTAGCACCTCCAGCATGTCTCAGTCCAGACAACAACTCTTCTGAAACACTGTTCGGGACCATAGAAACAGCCACATGTTGCTTTGCAATGTGCTCATATCCATTTACAAATGAAGCAACTAAATAAAACCATGTGTGCATGCCCAAGTAAGTGGTCAAGATAAACCTGGTGACCTTTTCAGAATTGGCCAACAAATTGGCACAAACTGTTGCTTCTGTCTTACCGTTGAAAGGCTCGCTCTGGGCAGAATTGTACTGCTGCATAAGGAGAGGTCATACTGCCAGACTGGGGTCTTTACTGAGGTCGTCAAGGTTATCGGCAAGTGGCCCAAGCACATGTATTACAGCAGATCTGGAGTTATAAATAAATGAAAAACATGAAAAACATCAACAAAAACGAAATTGTGAGGCAGATTAAAGTGCTAGAAGGTCAAGTGCACAGGAGTGAATCAAGTGTGGAGGATGTTTTAATTTTGGTTTAATCTTTCTACAGCCCACAAGCAAAGGGGCGGCGTCAATGCCAACATGCTGACCAATCCCTGACGACAACTGGACATGGTATCATACCCACTCAGTTGCTAGGATATAGATATTAAGCAACAACCCCCACCCATTCCATTCCTAGTCCATGTCCCCAGCGATGTCTGTCTAAGCACTAACCTGAAAAGCACATTCCGCTGTCCATTCGCTGGCTGCCGTTTCTATCCAAAATCCCAGGAGCTTTCAGCCATGCGTGGTGATTGCATCACACTAACTTCTATTTTAACCTGACCAGGTGAAAAAGATGTCACGTCAAATAGCCCTCGATGACCACGGTGGCTTCCTGACCTGTCAATAGGGCTGAAACTCGGTGTTAGAAGTTTATCGCCCTGCATCCCTTCATCCGCTAACATGCAGAGCAAGCACCTGTGACATGACAGGCTAATCTCATTGAATTAGATGAATCCAACCAACATTATAAACTCAAAATGATGCTCTCCCTGTTGATGTTGGTCGCTACCAATTCTACAATGCAAATTAAATTAGAACTGCTACTTCTTCAATGTTCTCTAAACACAAACACTGTTAAAATCAAGCCATCCATAGATGCGCACAGAAATTACTGAAAAACCTTACTTGATTCAAGCCTGCCGATGCTATACACCAGAGGCTGTAAACTTAGAGGTGTTTTGCGGTTTTTACGGGTTGAATTGCAGATGAATCAGAGGTCTAAAATAAAGGGGAGGTCACAGAGGGGAGAAGGATAATAAATAGATGCTGGGTATCCAGGGAACACGATCCGGTGCGCCGGACTTTTGTACCTTTAAAGAGAGCCTCAGTCAAGTGTCTTCCTCCTTCTATCCTATTCCACCACCCATAATGTACTTACTATAAAGGGAAACCTTATAACGTGTGTACTAAACTATTGTGTTCATGACATAGGTCGCCCTTTGTTTGTACATTCATTCATTATTTTTCGCAGCTGAGTTTACTAATCTGACTTAGTGAAAAGTGAAGGACAGGACTCAATTGTATTAGGAATTGACTGGATTCTGAAAACAATCTGACCCGATTGCAGATTTACAGTATTATCCAATAGCCTATGTGAAATTATGTTAGCAGAAAACTTAAATATCAACATGGACAATAATTTAAAATGATTCATCGATGCATATCTTTTTTTTTTTTTAATTCATGTGCCCTTGTAATTTTAAGTTGGCATAAAACATAAGTTACAATAGTCTTGTACTCCCTATTATCTCCCTATTGTGAAATATCCAAGTGAAACGGCTTCTCGAACAAGAAAAAAAAATGTAGGGTGGGACTCGATTTTGTCCAATTGTTTGGATTGTTGTTGTTGTTTGCTAGTACTGTGATCTCATGTGAGAGACAGGTTGTCTGATCCTTGAATACAAACTACTGTTTCATGCTGACTTTAACCAAAGCCACTTTAAGGCAAGCCTTCACATTACAGCCGTAATGTCTTGAATTTCTTTACAACTGTCAAATTCGATGACATTAAGGCTATGTGATTGTGACATAAGCCAAATTAAACGTTATATGCTTTCTCCAGTGGTAGAGTCATGGACCTAATAAGAACATATCTGCTTTAATTAACAGGCCAGAAACCTTTCAATCTCATGTCCTTTGATATATCTTTCCCTACACATGCCAAACAGCAAGTTATTTTAGACCAACCCCACAACACACACCCAACACACAGTTAAGCATACACAGCACACACCCAGGCAGATAGCTTTACAAACATCTGCAAATTGTGTGTCCTCATTCTGCCATTCCTGAGCAGAATCCAACTTTAACTAAATGTTTCGCCCAGCTGCACTTGGCTTTAGTTTATAGATGGTGGCAGATTCCCACATACCCACTACCAAAGTGAAAATGCTTCTAACTTAACTGTCACTAGATACAATCTCAGACTTTCACTGTGTACTGGATATTAAACAACTAAAAGAATTAGAGAAGTGCTTTCTGTTATCTTTAAGGAGAATATTTCAATGCCATGGCAAAATAAGTACCCGTGTGGGGAATGAGTTTGCAATCTAAATTGAATGCGATAAGATTTATTTTAAAAAAATGTGCAAAATAATTGCAAGGGAACGAATGGAAATAAATTAATCTCTCCAGAACATGAAGCCTGCAGGCGAATCATCCATCCATCCATTTTGCAAATTGCTTGTCCAATGTGGGTACAGCGCAACATCTAACACAGTCTCATCCCAAGTCGTCATATAACTGACGTCTTGGGACGTCTTTTAAATTCCTTTTTAATTGATTATTAAGTTGTTTAATTAAGGCTATAGTTATAATGACAGATTTCATTATAAGTCTTTTCATCACTACTGAAGCTGTCAGTTTGCTAAGTTTCAAATGATTATTAAACAGCAAGCACAAACTATGCAAAAGTGGGAGCCCTTCCAGTGGACTCCTTGCCCGACCCGTTTTCATTCATTCCTTCAAGTGGTTTAAATTGATTAGTGGAGTAATGTAGAGGAATAGTGAATATATAATGGACGATTCCAAACACAGCCACTGATTCTGTCAGACCAGTTACTGAATCCAGAATAGAAGAATAGAAGTTGTGTACATAAGGTTTGTGAAACTTAAATCAGTAATATATACATACCCGTCTACCAAAGACTAGCTTTGTAGATCAAAGACAGATATGGTTGTATGCGGGTTGTTATGGTTGTTATGGTTGTTATCATGACAACAAATTAGTTTAATGATCAAAAGTTTTGTTTTGATTTTTTCTGCTAGTGTCAGCAGGTTATTGATGCAGAATCACATAGTTAGTTAAAAAAACAAACAACAACAACAATTGATGTAACTTAAGCTTGTGAAAACTCTAAGTTATAGTTTGAACTTGTTTTAGCTGTAACGCTGTATATTTCTATGGCATTGCTGTCGAAGAGTAATTAGCAGGAGAAGTGGATTTACTTATTGTAGAGTTAATGACAGTTATGAGCATTATTCAAAGCGGATGACAAACAAATGTCAGTAGAACCATAGTTGGGTAAAATTCTACAGCGGTGAATGAGAAAATACATTAAATATTATTCTGTGTGTTCACATTTGCCCAAATAGCAGAATAAAAACTCCACAATAGTCTCCACTTTCAAAAAGAGGAAAAAAATGCAGAGAGATAACGGCAGACAGAAGAGACAAAGATGTCAACTTTACCATCACTGCTGTATTAGAAACACCCGTGCAGCAGTCTGACGCGCAGTGTAGCATCATTATTCTTTACATGCATGGGACTCCATCTCTGCTGTTTGGGTTGATTATAACATTAATCTGGAAATGTAACATGCGTCACTTCACAGGCTTGTAATGTTAATCATTTATAAACCTATACCAACACAGCAAAACACGTCAATATGTTTCCAATATGTTGTTCATCGCAATTTCAAAATAAAAGTTTGAATGTTTTGATGGCCATTTGTTCTTGTTCAATAAACTAGAATGACTGTCACATTTCTATTGGCTATAAAGAAGTGAGTAAATATTAAATGATTATAAAGTGGACATTTTAATTATATTTTTTGGGTAATAAACAAGGATTGTACGTATGCTGTAAAGAGCAACAATCCACAATAATATTTTACAACTGTTTTAAATGTTTAATTAGTATACTCAAAGAATATTTCTTAAAATTAAATTCACTTAAATATTTTATGTAGCCGAAACTTAATTTAATAGCATAAAACCAATCAATTAAAATAATTAACTAGCCATCTCTTACTGTGATCAGATAGTCGGTTAATGCATGTGCCCACCAGCATGTTAGCAAATCACTGTTCTTTAATATAGCCTACACTGCCATAGTTTTCATAAAGCAACAAAATAGTCTTGTTGAGATTCAGCTCTTTCTTCATCGGTAAGCCCAAAATACAAAAAAAACAAAAAACCATTAAACAGTAAATAATCTACATCTAACGTACATCTAACGTTGTGTTGACGTGCGTTGAGTGAGAGAGTCTGTGAATGTGATGACACATGAAAAATTGTATTTACATTTTTAACACTGTACTTTATTATATTACCTTTGCATCAAATTACATAAAACTAACGTTGCTGTGAATCCGAGGATGTTTCTAATACAGCGGATGGGGGAGTGAATTTATGTCTTCCCTCTAACTTCAGCTTTTCTGTGAAACCCAGAAACGTGAAAAGGGTAAATTAGACCACATCAAGGTTGACGACTGAAGACTGTTAGGATCGATTTCTTCAGATTTATTCGACATGTTACCGGTCAGTTTCCACAAGGCAGAACACGTGACAACACATGGTGCAAACTCAATGCAAACAAATAGCACAAAGCTCAATGCCCTGCAACTGAAGAAAAACACATGAAAATAGGAAAAAAAAAACACCAACAAAAAACAAAAAGAGAACATTTTTGGTTTGAGAACACGTGCTGTAAATAATCACAATGCAGCCAAAAACAGAAACATGCTGCAAATAGCACAGAAATGGCTCAAGGGGAACAACAAATGACGAACCTGACTGGGACATGCTTATTGTTTAGAGTCTACTAGTCAGTGGTGTTGTCAATTGTTACATAGGCCTATAGCTAGTCCAAGGAAGATGAAGGCTATGTCCACATTAATCCGGATACATTTGAAAACGGGGTTTTCGTTTAAAAACGCTCTCCGTCCACACTAGCGTTTTCAGGCGTTTTCCTACGTTTCAGTGTGGATGAGAAACTTCTAAATTCACTTTACCGTGCATGCGTGAAACTTCACAAAAGCTCACTGAGACGATACAGAGGGGAAAATAAATAATAAAGTTATCTCACAATTCTTCTAGCAGGATAGATAGGTCTCACCATCACATGATGCGTCCAGGTCGCATTTAGTCACCATATGTTTGGTCTAAAACGCAACTGCTTCCCTGTTTTGCTGCAGGACAGCAAATGGGAGTACATTATCTGTCATCTTTGCAGTACTGTGGTATGAAGAATAACACATATTAAGTAACATAGAAAGTAACAGATTTTAACAACAGTGTAAAAATAAATCACATAACAGGCACAATACGATAAACATGAATATCTATTGGATCACATGACTACACTTACATCATCGTTTTGAAATACTACAACGCGAAAACGTCATTTTCAAATTTATCCACTTTGGAGAGTGTTTTCTAAAAGATACATTTTCGTTGACTTAAAACGGCATCTCAGTGTGGACGGAAGGCCAAAACGGAGAGGAAAAATATACGTTTTCAAACGAAAACCTATTACTGTGGACATGGCCGAAGATTGTTCCAATAAACAATTAGATTTATTAAACATAGGGCCAAACACAAATAAAACGGCATGTAACTCATGAACAATATTAGCCAATGAGGTGAGGAACTTAAATACACAATGGTGATGAACATAATGACAAACAGTCTTTGTGCTGGACGGACCAGTGATGATGAGGGCAGAAATGATTCAGGGCTGGACAGAACCAGCGATGATGAGGGTACAAAAGGCTCAGGGCAGGACTGGGTGTGTAACACAACCTCAGATTCCCAATCGATCAGCCATTCCTCGGTGTCCCACTCCACCAACCCTCTCCTTTTCACAGATGTTGCCTGCTCGAATTTACCTGATCAGACTCACTGTGGTGCTTCGGCTCCAGGGCGGCTCCTCCATCACGGCAGGAGGAAGCTCCTCATCTACGGTGGGCTCTGGCGTCATCTCCATGTCATGGGTGACAAAGAGATGACGCTGTGATGATTGAGTGTCCATGAAAACCGACGAGTGGCGGGAAACTTGAACAAAGAATACACAGGAAACGGGCAACGGATGATCAAACAGACACTAACTGTGACATTGATGACATAAAATGTGAGGGTTTTTTTTTTTTTTATTTTAACATCCTGATTGTATGTGCATTGTGAGTGTTTCCAGCACGGTTCTGTATTGCGTTGTGACTCGAGAATTTGCAGATAAAGAAGTTTTCTTAATTTGCGGGTGTTTTTTCTATTTGCGTGTGTGTGTGTTATTTTTCAGCTGCAGTTTCATTTTGAGGCCTCTTGGCCACCATACCTTCCACTTGCAATTACTTCATTCTCTAATGATGTGCATACTGGTGCAAGGGCGGTGCAACCTGTCACTCACGTGAGATCACAGCAATTAGTTCCTGATGGACAAAATCAAGTCCCACCCTACATTTTTCAAGTAGCCTTTTCACTTGGATATGTCACAATTAGAAAGAAGGACTAATGCAAATTCTGTTTCATGCTGACTTTAAAACAAAAACTATTTGGTTACCTTCTGGTTATTAAACTTAGTGACAATATTTAATGTGCTGAACTACACATTATGAATGTGGTTACTTTGTTTGGACACCTGTGGGACTTGTCATTTGGTGCCATTTGGTTTGTTATTTCCTAATTAAATGCAACGAAATTAATACATTTCTGTGATTTAAGTGTCCAAAACACTCGTTTGGCTACTTTATGAAAACAACATGAGGAATTAGCATAGTACATTTTTTATTATTATTTTAATTTTCACCATAAACAATTGAAGAGTTCAGATGCAAAAACCTCTAAATGCCATTTGAAATTTTCTTCTTTAATGATGATTTTTATCAAACTTGTATATTTAAGTTCAGTAATTTCACTTAAATAACAATTAATAGGTAATTATCATTGCCATTTAAGTGAAATCACTGAACTTAAATATACAAGCTTGATAAAAATTATCATTCTATGGCACTTAGAGGCTTTTGCATCTGAACTCTTCAATTATATTTGGACATATCACCAATTTGGACCACACACACCAGTGGTTACCACCCCTGTTCTCCAAGCAAGGACAAAATAACATTACTAATATGATCTCTTGTTGAGTTCAAGTGATATTGCAGATGACACATGAAACCCTTACATCACTGCAGTGTTAATTGCTCTTAACATGAAGTCACTGGATGATAGTCACTCTATCCCTATTACTTCATGAAGTACACATTCTCATTTAGGGCCCTCGTGATTACGTCAGTTTCTACTGTGGCCTGTGTGTGTCTAATCTCACATCTCTAATGTGCTGATTATCTTGTTGCAGTGTATCACAGAGTGTTGTTGCATGATCTGCAGGCTTAAACCCATGTTAATCTGCTTGCATAGATGGGTTAAAAGTAGTTGTTTATAAGCCAATGACTGAAGCGCATGCAACTTTAAGTACATCATCCCTCCTAATTCGTCTTTATGCCCTTTATCTTCCTTTACACATGGTAAGGCAGTTCACACCACCTATTACTGTCCTGTGCTTGCATACGGCTAAGCAGTTGTTGGGGGGCAGCTGGTGAGGACGGTCACCAACATGAGGTCAAGCGTACACTGCGTGGGACGAACATACGCCAGCCACTCTCAGGCCCTGTGTAGTAGGGCTCAAGCGTATGCGTATGTGTCTGTATTGCCCGCTGTGACTAATGGTGTGGGTATCCAAATGAGTCAGAGGGACTGGTGTTCAGTGCAGTGTTTGAGAGGTGATAATTCATGGAGTACAGAGGCTTGTGAACAACTCCAATACTGCCCAGCAACTCACCAGTGTTTACATCAGCCTGTCACATTAAACATGAAGACGGATCATTCCTTTTACGAACAAAATTAAGAGTGAAATAATCCACTTGCTATGTAGAGGGAATGGCAAATTATCACTAGAATAGTGACAAAGACAAATAAGAGTGTCTGTTAAAGAAATATTCTTAAATAGTCTTTAAAATTCTAAAAATGTATACCAAGTTCTTAGAAATGTATTTTTGTTGGTTTCAAAAAACAATATATATATATATATATATATATATATATATATACTGTGTATATATATATATATATATATATCATTATGATCAGGACAGTTTTATGAATAAAACATTTTAAATAAAACATTTGATTTTAATTCAGAAATTAAAAACATGCTAGTAAGATGTGATTATATTATGTAAATTGCATTTGTAAGGTGGTTTTGAATAAATGATTAGATCCTATTAAAAATGTCAAAGTAACAGGTGATTCACACACTGAAACAATAACTGAAAGCGTATTATAAAATAATCTCCACTTCTCACATGCACCCTGTCTTAAAGAGATAATACTAGTTTGTGCACCTTGTTATTGTTCTAAGTATAAAACTGTAGACAAAGACAAATACTTTCCCACGTTGTGAATCACACTATATCTACTACCCTCAGCTCACTTTTGTCACAGTGACTTCTCCACCTAAAATCAGTTGTGTCACCATTCATGGGAAAAATCAAGTTGCTGGTGGCAAGGAGTAAAAGGCGAAATGCCAAATTTTGAATCATCCTGTAGGACAGCTTTTGGTGGGAACCAGATTTG